GCGCCTACTGGAAGTGCTAGTGGAGATTTCATTCTGCCTTTCGCATTGAAAGAACTTCTATCGAGCTCGGTTCGGGTTTCCTGTCCGCGGAAATTCCTCTCGGGAGGCAGTTATGCAGAGCCCGTCAGTATGTCCTCATGCGGAGTTTCGTCTTAGACGAGAGTTTATCCTCCCCGCCTTTATGCTGCAAGCGGTATCATGCTCATACATGCCCATACCAGAACATCGATGAACGGGTGGGAACCTTCCATTTAAGCCGCTCGGAATTCCGAGCGCTGCAGAGCCCCCAGATTCCGTCCGACATCATAGTCGGGCACCAGCTGCGGATGGAATCCATGAGGGATAGACCAGTTTTCCGTGAATCTTCTCCGTAAACTCGTCTGACGGGTGAGAGAGGGCTTCGAACCCTCCAAAATCTCAACCCGACAGCCTACTCAGAACTGCACACTTAAAGTATAGAATTCTCACCCCATTTGCCTGTCACGTATCGGAAGTTCTTCGGGTGAAATCCGACTTCGTCTTTCATGCCACACATAGAACCGAATTGGAAAGAGCAGGGTGGTCCATCGTCCGATCGCCGAGAAGCAGGATGGTCCATTCGCACCAAGTTGACACATTCGAGAGAAACGCGTGTGGAATCGAGCAAAAAATCTCATAACATCTCTCGCTGTCCAGGAATGATTGGGTCAGATATCAGATTGCTTCCTCTTCGATGTAGATTGCGTTCCCTTCCGCCCTCGATCGAGATGAGATCTCTGCAGGAGTCCGGTAGCTCACCAAGTCGTGGATTAAGGTTGCCTCTCTTCAGATTTTGGGGCGGTGGGCTCCATTCCGCGCCAGATGAAGACCTGAGGGTGACATACATGCCTCGATTCTTAAACGCGGCGAAGACTCACTGGAGAGCTAGGTATATCGAGCTAAAGTGAGAGTTTCGAAAATCTGAGCGGAAAAGTCGAACCGCCCGTGTGGACCACATGAGAGAAAAGAGACCCGAACACAAGCTCCCGGGAGGAGCGAGCATTCCTGGGCTGGATGTGCGTATGATCCCTCGACCGGTATCTCATCTCGTTGCCCTACCGACTTACGCGACAAGTCGTTCAACGCTCGCTCGTGCTGACTCGCTGAGCATCTTCAAAGAGATCTTTCTCTAGTATCTCCTGCTTCCGCCGCGCCGATTGCTTTATGCAAGCTCCTCAAGCAGATGGTGACCTTCCGAATCTGCAGAATCGGGTCAGATTGCGGACTTTCTTCAGTGCCGTGGGATTTCTTCGACGCCGTCGTGACTTCATTCCACCTGCTCGGTGAGGACGCCGCGGTAAGGTGGGTGCAGCTCCCGCGTCGCTTATCTCGGAACGGAAGCTCTTGCAAGACTCCGTGATTCTGCCTTCATTGACGGCATTGAGAGCGACGGCGATTATCAAGATGCCGACGAACGGTGCGGTGATTTGTCTCACGGTCCACCTCCGGCGGCGTGCGCGTCTTCATGAAACCGTTTGTGATCGCCGACAGGTCTCTTCCGCCCGAATCGCCCTTGCGAGAGCCGTAGCACTCACGTATAGATTGGATTCCTCCCGACGTTAGGAGCAGATTACGTTTTGCGTATTGGAAAGATGCGTTGCTGAATCATCTTGTAAGATCGAAGCTTCGACCATAGCTCGTCTCTTCAGTCTGCTCCGCGTCCGAAGCCTTCGCCGCCTTCAAACCCGTTTTCTTCGGGAGTTATTCCGCCGCCAATGGCTCCGTGCGAAAGGCTGCGGGAGCTTGAGCCGGTGCGAGCAACTCGAACGCGGTACCCTGTCTCTGCGGTTCTCGGACTAGAGGTTCAGATCTGATTCTAACGTATTCCTGGTTCGTCTAGGCTGCGCTGCCCAGAGGTGATCGGTCTCCACGGGAGCGCGATTCCCTCGCGCTCAAAAAATCGGAGCTCATCGATTTCCGAATGTTATTCCGGAGCATCACTGTCTCGTCGCCAGCCTGGGTGCATAGGTTCGTAGCTCCCGGGAACAGACGGGGAATCGGAGAAGCGGCACATGAGCGATTCGGGAGAACGAAGTACCCGCAGGGAGAGGTGCGCGTCGCTTCGGTACTCGGTGCCGATTCTTCGTTTCTTGCCGCGGTCCGATACAGAGAATGGATTACTAAGTGGACATTCGATGAGCGAAGCAAAGATGAATGCTCCAGTGCGAAGCTCAGAGTCGTTGCCCGACTAGAGGATTCCGGGCTTCGGAGCTTCCACTCTCACTCCCATTCGTCGCGCTCACACGCGCCTCGGCAGTTTCCTTTCAGTAAAGTGGACAAGCTAGACCTCTTGATGTTTGCTCCTCTAAACATTCGAGCCGAGAGTTCTCAATTTTGAGCCACGATGTCGAGCTCCCCCCTTTTCAAATAAATTCCCTCGGCTGAAATCAAACATCCGAGTACCGTCCCCAACGGTTAGAAATGCCCTCTAAGGGGGACCCTCGGAGGAAGCTTCGATCCAACCAGGGGCGACATTGCCCCCGAAGAGGCTCGGCATCACTGAAAAGTCTGCGGGACTCTGACGCTCTGATTGTTAGAATTACTTAATTGAGGAGCGAATCGGGGCGCTGAGAGGAGGAACCGCAGCGAGTCTGTCGAGTTCGGCCTAGGCGTAGGCGTTGCTTCACGCAAGTGGAGGCGTCCTACGGGAAAAGCTGCCAAAGACCGCACTGAGGTCATTAGTGTGCAAGCCCCCCAACAGTGGCGCTGGAATCGCGAGTACGGTCGAGGGCCCGATGGCGGAGTAAGGATGAGAATGTAAACAATGTCTATGGACGGACAACAGTGGAATCTGTGGACTGAGTGAAGGAGTGAGGAAGCTCAGAACTGGTCCTGTGCCTGATGATTTCATGCGCAGAGGACTATCACTGAGTATGGACTCGACGTCCGACGCAAACGCGAGACGATCGTCGCCTCGGTCGTCGGGCTCTGAATTAGCCCTCGAAGACAGCACTAAGGACACATCTCGACCTGAGGTGAGTGAGATACGTGACACGTATAAACGTCACATCAATCGACATGAGAATCGACGGTCACATCACCGTCGCCTGCTGCCCATGGCACGGAGAGCGTGCATAGTGACCGACGATCGAACGTCGCGCAGCTGGCCTCCAAGAAGCCTCTGGGTATTTTTGGTCGCACCGCTATCGAATTAGCATATATTGACCGACAGTTTACCTGTGAGACCGCCCTGCAACAGCACTTGCAGCGGGCGAATCATCCGCACATACCGCATGTCACGCCGCTGTCAGGTTCTTACAAAATTAGCGTAAACGGGGTTGACTAGCGATTTGGCGAGACAAGACAGCAAGCGGCCTGGTGAGCGAGGAAGGAAGCGGTAGGACGGGCAGGGGTACCTACGTCAGCGGTCTTACTGGGGGTCTCGCTATATCGGACGTGGTCGGGCCGTTCGGTCACGCTCAGTCGTGCCGCCGTTCCATAGTGCGTTCCTTCGCTCTCCGGTTCAGGTCATCCGTTGCTGTGCATCTGTTGAGCTCGCTCTCCGAGGAAATCCGTTCTCCTCTGTGGACTCGGGCAGGAGAATGGATCCGTTCTTGGCGAATCCCTTCGGTGAAGGTGAATTCTCGATTTTCGAAGGTGTCGCTTTGCTGTTCGAACCCACTTCCCAGGTTGGTGTTATCAGTCTGCCTTCAGACTCGCGGAATTTTCTTACCTATTTTGAGTTCCCGGAAAAGGGATTCTGAACCGCACTCCTGCCGCCCGACACCGTTCCCTACGGCATGTCGTATCATTCATATGGAAAGTGCTCAGGAGAATCGGTGTCTCAGGCGAATTGGCGTGCGGAGAAGCTGCGGTCGAGAGAGCTGGGTCGAAAAGAAAGAGCTCTCAGTTTTCTGCGGTCTCGGAAGCTCAAATTTCATTAATGTCTTTTCGTAAATCGTAATCCGTGAAGCGATTGCGACTGGCTTGTCGAGAGTTGTCGTAGAGGAAACTAAATTCAGGTGGAAGGGGGGGGCGCGGGGAAAACCATGCGCTCGGGCGATCGTCCCTGAAGGAGAAGATCCAATTTTTCCATCGTCGGGGGCGCACTGGTTCGTCGGATCGCCTCCGGCCGAAAGTGTCGAGAGCACGTCGAAAATTTTCCCGAAGAAATTTCGAATAGGCGTTCGCGACGACTTAGGAGCGGATCTCGACATGAAAAATCATTTGTGCAACGATTTCAGTCCTACGTTCCCGTCGATGTGAAGATATCGGTCGAGAGGAGCAGCTCGCGAACCTGAGTTCCCCGCCCAGACTTGGGCGGACACTCACTCATTCGATCGAATTCTCTTTCAAGTGGGCGCTCTGTCAAATTCAAGTTCCTTTGCTCCGTAGAGTGCTCCGGGAGCAGGACGGTGCTGCTACGAGAGCATATCCAATTGTCAGCGAATTAGTCCGCTCAGCTCAACGATCGAGTGGGGAACATTTTGCGTCGGGCGTCCACGGATAAAACGGCCCGAGGTTCCGTCGCGGCATCTCTCGCTTATTTCGGCCAAGTCTCGATCGATTGATGCTAGCCAAACGAGCGTGAGCGCAGGTCCGATGCGAAAAAAAACCCATCGGACGAGGAGCTTGCTTGCGCTCGATGATGGGTCGGGCAGGTGGCCCCAGGCGGAATCTCCCGAATTGCTCCAACCATGCGGAGAGGTGGAAGGAGGGAAACGATTACTGCCACATGCAGGGAACGCGGTGAGCAGAAGAGGTGGAGGGGGGGGAATCAATCAATCAATCGATAGGCTTCAACCGAGACAGCGACGACTAAAGGTCAATGTTTATTTGACCGTCGATTCGAGCGCGGCTCCGGCCGATTATATTGGAACAATCGCTGGCGCTGCTCAAATATGCTGGATTCCCGATGGGCAAGCTCGAATCAGTGCGGGCTCGTTCCTGAGCGCATCATTTCCGCAGAGCAACAGCTGTTTCGATGTTTCCGGCGCGTCTAATGAATACTTTTTCTCTCATAGGGTGCAGCCGCCCGACGTTCGCCATCGCCCACTTTAGCGCCACCTCCTCAGCGACCGCCGAACTCACCGAATTTCCCCGCGAATTTCACAACCTACACCCTCGAGGATTTCTACATTGAGCCATGCTTCTACAAGGTGAGCCAGCGTTCTTCCAAGAAGAGAAAAATCCGAAGGATTAGGGATGGAGGGATCGTGGACCAATGTGGACGATTGATGTAAAAAAGGAAGAGATTGGAACTTCGGGAAGAGAATGGTAGGATTAGAGCAACATTGGGGAAGGGGAGTGAGAGGCTCGGCTGGTAGGCAGTGAGGTATCAGAGCGCAATGCAGGGAAAAACACCGCCGGTCAGTTTTTGTCGCTGACGGTAATCGTAAGCCAACCTTTCATCCTCGCTGCTGTTACAGATGGAGCGGCTGATCCTGGAGATGCAACACCCGGAGTTGGGCGTCCCCTTACGCTCCCAGAAACTTTTCCTCACGTCCATCCCCTTCGCGTTCGTAGGGTATGATGTCGTCGAGTGGATCATGGACAACCTGGACATCGAAGATCAGTCGGGGCCCGTGGCACAAGAGGCTCTGCATATCGGCAATCTGCTTTGCCAGTTTGGCTATTTTTTCCCGGTCGGTGAAAACGCCAAAACATACACCATCAAAGACGACTCAACCTTGTACAGGTACGAGCAGAGCTCCGACAGGCTATGGTCGTCATGCCATCGTAGGGATATTGATCGACATCTTCACAGTTTATTGCCACGTATTTGCGGACGAGATCGAGGCGCTCTCTCGGATTTGATGGACGGCTTTCCCGCAGATTCCAGTCGCCCTTGTTCTGGCCTGCGAGAAGTACACCGGACAACGCGGATTACGCTTTATACCTGCTGAAACGTCATCTGAAGAACAAACAGAAGAGTTCTCTCGAGGACTATGAGCAAGAAGCGCTACAACGATTAAAGAAGTTGCTCGCCGCAAAGTGGGATAATCTCTGTCAGCAAGCCGAAGATTCCATCGCGTACGTATCAATGTACCGCTCTCGACCGTTTTCGTTGAAACCGAGCGGAGCCGTGCGATCGATCGCTGAGATTCGAATCGATATTCCCTACCGACGTCGGCGTCGTCGGATCCGCGAGTTTCACTGGCTATCTTCTTGCAGGCAAACGAAGGATCGCAAAAAGCACGATAAAGTGATAAGTTCATCTCAGGAAAGAGCGTATTGGCGCATCCATCGTCCGCCGCCTGGAGTCCAGAGCTGTCTCGAAAGATGTCCCGTCCCCAGCCGGCGGGGACCGCGCAAGAAGACCGTTGAGCAACTCAAGCGTCAGATTGAAATATTGAAACGAAACCTCATGAAGTCTCGAAACAAAAGCACCCTATGGCAACGCTGCGACGATTATCGAGAATTCGACGCTTTCCTGTCGTCGACACTGCCCTCGAATCCATGGGTTTCAGACGATCATTCGTTCTGGCTCATCGAAAGCGCGCAGTGAGTGTGCTTCTCAACCTCCTCAATCTGACACCTAAGCAATTCTATCTTATGGGATGCGACCGAATGAATATTCTCCATACCTCGTTATAACGGACCAAGAGGAACCGGCTGAAGCGGCCCGTTCTATCCGAAGTCCGTTTGATCCGATGATGGGTTCTTAATCGTGATGGAACGTGAAAATCATCGGAAACAGCGCTGCAGCTCTTTTAAGGACGCGCACAAGGGCGAGGAACCTCTCAATTCATCCAATTGGCTATCGCTCCCGAATTTCCTTCTCAAAAGAATGGGTCCGTTGTCATAGGTCATAGGCGATAATCCGATTATCATGGGAGGAGGTAGGACCGAGGCCTGGAAATCATTCTATCATATCCGAAAGTCCGTTATCGGATCCGACGAATTACTTGAAATCGAAGACCCCATAGGCTTGTCCGAGAACGAGCAATCGGTCCGTGCCCATCGAGTGTCCCTCAAATCAGGGTCCGTTGAAAGTTTTGGTGCACCTGGGGAGGAGTGAAAAGGAGTTCGGGATATTGTATTCGAGAAGAGCTCTGATTCCCCGAGTTATTTGTGTCGGGATTATTTCCTCCATCGTATATGGTGGGAGAAGATGGGGATATTCCTATGAATCCGAGAAAAGGATTCCGGTCATCCGATACAATCATTGATAATATTCATTGATTACCATTTTTAATGATTGAGCTCTCGATTAGGTGTGAGACCCCAACGGAGCGCCGGCTCAAACGGTGGACCCTGAGCATCGAGGAGTTGTTGTCCGATCCCAGGGGCTTCCAGGAGTTCGAGATCTATCTCCGGAAGGAATACTCCCATGAGAACATCCTATTCTGGAAAGCCGTTCAAAAGCTAAAGAAAGGATCACCGTCCAACATTGCCCAGAAAGTACAAGCTATACACGAGTGAGTGTCCCGTATATCAGCGGCCAAGGGTCAAAAATCGCGAAAATACTCAATTATTCGAGTTCAAAGTCCAGATGCGTATCAGCACGTGAAATTGAGGATTTCTCGATAATTCGGAACTCAAACGTGTTGCAGCGAATATCTCGCCTCTGGTGCGGCTTGTGAGGTGAACCTCGACTCTGCAACGATGGAAATCACCATGGAAGCAATGAAGAAACCGACACGATACACGTTCGAGCACGCTCAACAGCACGCGTACACGCTCATGCAGACCGACACGTATCCGCGCTTTCTACGGAGCGAACATTTCAACAATCTCTTGCATAAAGCATCCAATCTTCAGGTCAGTGACCCACAGGGATAAAGCTCTCGATTCTTAGGGAGGAATACTCTATAGAGAGGAGTAAGAGGGAAATGCTCAATCTGAGAAATGACCCTTCGAATCCAATCCTGTCCGAAGACATTCTGACGCTCGTTTCCAAACCTCAGATTCAGGGCCACCGAAAGCGCTTCTTCCATTTCGGGGCTTCCACGCGCAAAAAGCCGGAGAGCCAGAGACCGTCGCCGCCTCAGCAGGTCACGACATTGTTGCCATCGACTGGCGCTCTAGTTCTCTATACCAAAGCTTCAGGTACGTTCATTCGCGAAATTCGTCGGGTGCAATGCGGCCGTTGTCCTTGATCCTACGCACAGAGTATCACGTTGTCAAGCACCAGACCTCCGTAGACGATACAACACTGGAACCTAGAAGCTCTCGAGAGAACATCGTTGTGTGTGTGATTCTTTGGATGACCGTTCGTGAGTTGAATGCTCAGGAGAATGGAGGCACGATGGGCGGACGATACGTCGAATATTGACGTCTCGCCGCAAGCGAGTCCTTCGACTGGGGGAATGAACAAGGAGGAGGAGGAGGAGAAGGATAATTCACTCTGCAATAGTATCGAGAGTTAGATCCGCCGCGCCGGTACTGCCTCACTTGACAATGAACACGAGATTGGTCTGTAGGTCCGTTAGTCTGTTCATGTCCACCCCGTCAGTGCAGCACAGTCACTGAATCACAACAGCAATCACCCCTACCAAGCACCAATAATCAGCCCTCCGGAAGGCAGGCAACCAACCAGCCTTCGAGAAGGCTCTCAGGTAACTTCAGTCTCCGCTTCACGAGCCGATCTGGGGGAAGCGCCTCGCACGCCTCCTTGAATATACCTCCCTAGCAGCATCGTCCGTAGGTCGTCGCTCTGGGATGTTTAACCGGAATGCATCACGCGAATCCACCTCGTCTGCTGAAAGTCCTCCCACATCTTGACCCAATCATGAACTGACATTCCATTATCCGCATGCTCTCCAGTTCCGACGAGCGAATGTTTCAGGCAGAAATCTTGAGCAGCGATTCGGGGATAAAATAGCTCGCGTTCGATGCCTCCGTCAGGAAAACCCAGCAATCATTGGGCGGCGTTTGGCGATTCTCCGATCCCTCGGAGGTCCGGACTCACCCAAAGGGGTTGTGAGGGGAGGGCGCACGAGGAGATTTGCGATCCCTTGACGGGGACGAGAGCACGAAATTCGCAGTCCTGACCGACTATCTACCGAGTATTCCGCTATCCCGGCCGACTCTCTACGCTCAAAAGACGGTCTATCGCGTTCGGAACCGTTCGAAACCCAAGGTCGACTTGACAGATAGACACGAGGGGGTCGAGGGAGGGCCAAAACCCCGAACCGAGGAATCCGGCGCATGAATCCGCGGTTCTTCCATCTCCCTCTCTGTTCGTTTTGGATCGATTTATCGTCCCATCCGAACTTCTCTACGCCGTTCCGCCCGACGATCTGTTCTGAGAATTGTGATCGCTTTCCAGGAAGTTCCTGTGACCTCCGTGAGTCCCAGAAGCGACGCGGTAGCCGAGGCGCGAAGTCGGCTCAAAGCTCTTCGAAACCAGAGGCCACGTCGGACGACGATTCCGTCGCGGCCAACCCACCGTCTCCAGCGTTCAGTGGCCGGCACTCGCACTCAACCAGTGATCTCCATTCGCTGACTCCGAGCTCTCACGCCTCGAGTGTGGTGGCAAGCGGAGCGAATTCGGCGTTTGGACAACTGGCCGAGAAAGGCGAGAGCGCGTTCTCGTCGCCATCCGTCAGTTCGGAGTACATTGCGGTGAGTGCGATCGAGATGATTTTCCCTCTGCTCCCCAGAAATCGCCTCCGAGCGACGGCCCGAGTTCGACGACGTCGACGGCGGCATCGTTGACCGTTGGACTTCCTTTCCCGCAGGTGGACGCAGAAGGCGTTGCTGAAGACAGTTGTGGAGGGACGACCCTCCGGGTGCCTCGATGGAGTCATAAGGCAAGTGACCCAGGCTCTATGGCTGTGCCATCGGCGCTGCTCAAGGTACCGTCGTCCCCGCGCAGCAAAGGCGAAGAAACTGATCCGGAAGATCATTCCAGCAGCGCCTAGATCTACGATTTCCTCCATCCAACGCTAGCTTCAGCAGCCGCTACCGCAGCAGCAGCTACGATAGTTGTCGAGGAAGCGTTTAGAGATATTACCCACTACCTCCTTCTTCGGAAGCAGCCGTTCTATTGAGCCCAAACTATTCAGTCAGTCCGACAGAGAGCGACTTAGCTTCGCAGATCGCAAGACGAATCTGCGTTAGCGTGGAAGAGCGAACCTTCGAAACAAAGCGCGGGCCAAACCCTGCATTCATCCGATGCGGCATTCCAGGCATTGAGCTCTGTGGCTCCCTGTTGCCTGAAAATGCCGAATTCAGATTCCATACTCCGAGCAGCAGCGGACGCCGCCGCAGAATCAGCTTATTTCTCTCCACTCTTTCCGGGCGACGTTTTCGATTATTATCGATTCGCTGCTAGTCGACGTCATCGGACGCGAGAAGAATCCCCTCCGTAGAGGATCCCGATTCGTTCTTCAGAGGACAACAGTAAGCCGCCTTCTAGCGAACTCTGATACAACCGAAGAGGATTAATCCTTGCACTTGAATCGAGCAGCCGTCGATTTAAGCGATTAAGTATCCTCGGATAATTCGTTCAAAGGCTGATCGTCAGAACGGTCGAGATAGCGGGAGGATTCTGTGTTGCACTGATGCGATCGAAGTTCGCAAGATTCTCCCTTTTAAAATCTCGCGCAGCTCGCAGGAATTTATCGTAATCCGTCTCATCTTAAGACTTTCGTGAGGCGGAGAATCCATTTGGTGCCCATTCCGCTAACGACGCTTCTCGTTGCCGCTACGAGTTTGTGATATTTTTTGTCTGAAAGGAGCATCTCCTGAAGAGGACAGGAGTTATATCTAATAATTAATATCATTTCCTTATCGGCAACAACTGGTTTCGTGAGGGTTGTTTGAGCCGGTGAATAATATCAGTTCGCGAATTGCACTGTGTCGGGGCCGAACTAGTCGATATAAGATACCGAGTGATCTATTTAGTTTGAAAGTTTGAAGGGGGACAGAATTCGTTTTGTCTCGATGTGGTTTCCACCCGTAGCCGGCGGAATTCCCCTGAGAGACTGCTGCGTCATTAGACAATAATTTAGAGCCAGTGACCTGAAAAAGCAGAAAGAGGCGAATGGAACGTTCGCGGATAGAGGGGACGAGCGTCAAGATATCTTGGGCATCGATGCATGCTCGAGGCTTAAGTGAAGTAGAACCCGCCGCATCTGTTCGGTTGATGCTCGGCCGCGAGCGGGAAGTGTTTTCGTCGCAAATGTTGATTTTATGACTATCCGACAGTTGATGAATGAGATTACCGCATCACAATCACCCGATCTCGCTGTGGAGATTCCTGAAGTGGTCGAATAATGTTATACTGTTATAATTTTCCAAACAGAATCGGGAAAAGAATGGCTAGAGCGAGTCGCGTACAGGAAGATCTGACCGAAATTGAATATGTTGGGCATTCGTCCACGACAATGGTGATCGGAAGCGTCCGGAGGAATCCAGAAGCGATGGGAACATGGAGCTTCGCCCTTGGAGACTAGTTCTCCACAAGATCAGAGAGCATTGTGATTCGGATACAGACTCGTTGATAATTCGAGGCTCATGAACTGTCTGTAGTCCGGGATGAGACGACGGAAGATTGCTGGGCAATGTTCGCATCGATTTTCCCAGGCTGGGTCCGAAGCTGCTGGCATCGCGACCACGGGCTAATTATTCAGCCTGATTCCGAGTCGTTATGAATGATGATTGGCATGAAGGAGTCGCCTCAACAACAATCATTAATTTTCTCGAGCCGCAGCAAGACACCCGGATGTTTGACAACTGTCTTTCGATTTGGCCCGAACGAATCCAGCATCCCTTCGCGCATGGCGGAGGAAGGCTTCCTCGAAGATTTTTCCGCGACTCATGTAGCGCACTCCTCTGCGAGCGTTTCGGAAAAGTCGTTCCAGACCACGCCTAAATGCCGGAACCGAATCGATTGTCAATCTGGACAAACTGAAAATATGGGAAAACTCGCGATGAAAATCTTCAAGAAGGCGAAAATCAGGTCCACAGAGGGGATGCTGGTAGATCGAGATTCGGAGCTACCCACAAGAGCGGGAACTGTGGACTCACACGGAATTAGTTGGACAGTCTTAAGCGTTATGTTGTATCATCTCAAGAATTTTATCGACGGCGTTGAATTTGGGGAGGACACCGAGTATCGGAGTTATTTTCCGGTCTCTGAAGCATTCATGAGCCATTCGTTCATTGATTGGTGATGTTGAAGTCAGCTCGAATTATGAGCCGATTCGGGTGATCGGCTCGAATTCAATGATCAAGTCGGAAGTCGGCGAGAAAGAAAGTCGTACACATGACTTGGGAGAGTGTTGGTGAGGATCGGTCGATCGATTGATACTGGAACCCGTCTCTCCAGAATTAGTTGGTTTGCGCTGAAGACTGCTGATAACGATGACGAAACGAAGTACCTCATTAAGTAGAACTTCGACGATATCATGCTTATGATAGAGAAATATTATGCGTAGTCCGAGAGTGATGATGATTGTATTTGCAACCTCGAAAACCGTTACATTATGCTCCCAGCTCAGAGGAAAATCGAAGCTACCTTCCCCAAGTCGACAAGCCAGTAGGTGAGAGGGTAGTCTCTTGCTCCCGGAGGGGGGGAGGCTTTGTCAGGCATCAGTCTGCACTCCACTCGGTGTGTCCTACGGAATTGATCCGTGCAGCTCTCGGAATTGATGTACATAAGAGAAATAACGAAAACTAATCTCAGGAGACTCATCCCGACACACTTTATTATGCCCCCTGAAGCATGCGTACATAGAGCCATGGATGGAGCTTGAGTATTGTATCGGCGATGATCATGATAACATTGTAATTAGGAGAGCGAGTACTACCGTGAAAAGTAATAGTGCTATTGAGAAAGAACCTAGCCGAAACCGATGTCTTAAACCATGTACTTTCTGTCAACTCTGTTGCGAGAGTGTTCAGGTCTGTCTTGCTTCGCGCCGACGGCGACTTTCGGTCGAGGTTGCGACACTTTTCAAAGTGATTGATGAGAGGTGAGACGGAACGAGCTCCGAGATTGATAGTAGTGATTATGGAAGGAGCTGATGTTGAGCTTGACGGCACAGTCTGCCACACGATCTCGGAAATCTCTAGCGAGCGAGGAAAGCAAAGATCGACCCACGGCTTGTCGCTCATATCAAGCTCCGCGTTTGAGGAGCCCATCGAGGATGGTCGGAGCAAGAACATTTGTTCGTCTGGGAACAGCGGGACGAGAGGTATTCGCTCGCAGTCCGGCGGGATGCTCTGCCGTTCGACGGAGCTGAAGTTTATGCTGAAGAGAATCGCAGCTCAGAATTCGGCCCGCAGAGGGAAAATGCCGTGTCCTTGAGTGAGAAAGTATGATATCAAGACTGGGATCCTATCGGATAGATGGAGACATTCCAAAGGGGCACACAGGATCCGGAAATCGAAAATATGGAAGAAATTCAAAGCAGAAATTCTCGAGGCTGAATGAACTTCTGGGGAAAATTCCTGGGAGCTCGCATGTGTTGGGGAAAGCCCGAGATTCGTTTGGGGAAAATCATGGCTATCGTTGATCGAAAGAGCAATGTTATCGGGTCTGAAATATCAGAGCCTCGAATCTAACATCCAACTAGCTAGATGCTTGTTAAGAAAGAAATAAGAGTCCTAACTAGGTGGCTGAGTGTTGAATGATTCATTACCAAGAGGATGCACTACACAAATTAGGCAGGAGCATTCATCATCAGAGTACTGGAACTTGAGCTATAAACAATAAAAACTTGATCCACATCAAACACGAGTCTGAATCTTAGGCTACGTCAGGCACCGTCCTCCCCTTACAGAAGGAGGTAGACACTCACTCACGGGAAGGGCCAAGGGAACCCCGGTACACTCCTCCCTCGGTCGCGGGAGATTCTTGCAGCTGTCGTAGAGAATCACGAGTCAGAGGAATGACCATTCCGCTGCGCGAGCGATGGATTCCGGAAAGGCAGAGACAGACCACCGGACGTCTACGGAGCCGTCGCGCATGGCGACTAAAGAGGACGATGCCGAGGACGAGGCGCAGCCATTCTATAGGAGGGGCGCATAAAAGACTCTCAAACCGCCATCCGCCGACGCGCAAGCCAAGGATGCTAAGAGTGAGCGTCGAACCCGGACACTACAAGTAGAGGCAAGTCGACAAGATGCCCTCGGGCTCTTTCTTCCCGATATATCATACATCGAAGGGAGATAGACATGAGGGAAGAGAGCGAGCGGGAGCTGTGGTAGTTGTTTCCTGCAGAGCCTGGTCTCCTGTCCGTCATCATGCCTGAGTGTTTGCTTCCCGAGCTGACCTGTCAGATTTCTGCTTTTGGCTCCTGCTGAAAAAACCAACGACCATGCGACGAAGTTTGATGCGAAGCTGACACTTTGGCTGCTGCCCGAGCCTACCTCATTGCGAGACTCCGAAACTCTTGGCCCCGGAGAGAAAGAAAGAATGGACAGCATAGGCCTGGGTACGAGGAGGACGTTCCGGATCGACCGAAGAACGGTGGGGGATCGACGCTGGCGGACGCTCAATTATGCAACGGAACAGGTCACAATTTTCCTGCATATTCATGAGATCACCATCATTAAGCTCAGCTCGTGTCGCTGTCTTCGATATGATCGTCGCGAATCCCTGACCTCCCGCGGAAGAAGACGTTGATTTCCCCCGAGGACCTTCACTCTTCCTGCGGCTGATCCAAAGTCACGCTGGGTGGCTCTTACGTAAAACTCAATTTTTTTAGATTTCTCCTCCTCCAACAGATGTACTCCAAACGAGGTTTTCTCGAAACGGTGCATCTCCACCATCCTTTGCTATAGTCTCCGACGTCTCTCCCACTGCATAGGCGAGGAAAGTCTACGCTGAATTATCTCAGTCAGATCACTCGCCCGGGGACGTTGACGACATCGCGGGACGAGAATCTATGTGTTGTTTCAAGAGTTTCTGAAACTCGTCCACCCTGTGGAAGGCTCCGGGGGGTGACTACCTGCGTCGACGAGTTTCCCGACTAACGAGCGGGAATCGTCAGGCTTGGGGGATGGGGCTCAAGCGAAGCCATAAGCTTGTTGAAGATTCCATTTACTTGTGCGCTCTACGTGTTCTTCTGCTCTTGGCCGAGGAGGAGGGGAGCAGGGTCGCGAGCGCCCCCTGGAGCACCCTCGCCACTCCTGAATCCTTAACACAGGTCGGGTAGTCCTTCTCTTGTTGTTAGTGTTCCAGGATGAGAACAATGCTAGAAAATTTTCACCATGCCTCCTCAATGACCACCTTTGCTTCAGGGGAGGGTGCAGATGTCCTTCATTAACGACAAGCTGAATTAGATCCGATTGAAACGTGCCGTTTGAAGCATTCGACATGTGAGCTCCAGTGCTATGGTTCATCCTTGCATTCGATGCTTCTTTGGGCCCGCCTCGATACCCCACTGCTGCGTAACATGGCCAGGTGAGTTCAGAAGCGTGCGGATCTTCACGAGCTGCTCGCTATATCCCTCGGTTAGCCCAATTTTGTCGCTCGTGAGACTCTGGCGGACGTCTCCAGACCCGAATTCCAGCCGTAGCGCCGATGATCGACGAGGACGCTTGATCCTCCATGTAAATTAGGCACTATTTAAAGAACACAGAATTCGTCTCCAGTATCCCTTTCGAGCGAGCTCCGACTCTCTCGACGATTCCTCCCAACTCTCGACCGTGTTGCAGCTCCGAAGTCCGATGCGGGGCGCAAACGTCTTCCTGCCTGCTTTGCCTGTTTTGAGCTTTCGAGAGGCAATAACGAGCTCCGCGTAGACGAATTCATTGTTTGTGGTCATGGTATCTCGTCCTGCGTTGACATCCGATATGACGGTGGTCATTCATGAAGATTGAACACGCATAGCCCACGCCCTCATCACGCTCGGCAGATCCCCCTTCCCCGGAGAAATCATTCGGCCTTGCGAGCCAATGAGCTCGATCTCTTCCGACGCGTGAGCAGTGCGACAACGGATAACCCAGCTCGACTTCCCTCGGCGGAGTTGGCTCCAATTGCAGGCAGATCTATTTGTCAACTCCGAAGGGGGGATGTCCACATCGGAAAATGCCGCTATTCCTCTTGGACACTTGAGCGATTCGGGTCGGATGGAATCCTGCTCCCGAACTGCACACAGAGCAGGGGAATCCGAAATTCCTTGACGCAATCGATCGCGGATGACGACCTTCCCCGATAAATGAAACGTATGACAAAAGGCTCTACAGAGGGAGAGGATATTCACCGCGGTTCGAGCCCCGGAAGTTTCGAATTCGGGGTCGGTAATTCCCTGAAAAGAGCCTACTTCACTGTCTGGACGAAGAACCTTGCCTCAACTGATGCCATCAAGGATCAGCGGGCTCTGGCTCGGACCTTTTGAGGAATATACGATTCCGCCGTAACTCCCTCTACATGATGCTGGATGTGTGGGTCGGGTCGAAATTGACTCACGAATTTAGATTTGGTTCCTAATTAGGGAGTCTATGGTGAAGCTACCGTTCCGCCAGGGTCTCGTTCTCGCCGCGGAGCTGCTTCCAAATATAGCGAACATTTGAATGGATTCTGATTACGCCCCGGAATGACTCTTCACCGTAGTAAAGAAGAGTCCCGCTTCGAGCGACGAATTCGATTCTCTCATTCTCACCCAGGAGGCGTTCAAGCCTCTCCTTGTGGATTGTTCTCGCGTCGGGCAACTTTATCGATCGGACTCATGTCTCTCACTAAGGCCTCAAGTGCCTAGAGAAAATTTCTGAACGCAGGGATTTTCGCTTGGATCGCACTCCCTCTCGGGACGAACAGAAAACAGAGTTTGGCGATGGCCGATCTATCTAATTTATTTGGTGAAAAAAAAACTTATTTACCACGGTCTCGAAGGATGTCCGCTCTTCCAACACACAAAGGGTTACAGATCATAACGTCGGCTCTAGTAGGATTGCCTGCCTCGTATAGCTCAGGGAGCAGGAACAAGTTCTGTAGATCAGATCTCTCGGACCCATTGCAAAACGCGGCTCACAAACAGATCCCGCCACATTTTTGGCTCTTCGTGACGTTGAGGACGATGGCTGGGAGCATTCTACTGTTCGGCTCTTTGCCTTCTCCGCGGGGGCCGTATCGGGCCCGATCTGTTGCTGCTTTCAGCCGATGCATTTCCATTTCCGTCGACGAATTCCCGTACGAATTTGAAGCGCGACAAGAACATTCTCCAAATCCCCATCCAGCCTGAGGACGAAAGCGTACTTTATTTTTTTTTCTCCGTTTTCAAAACAAGATTCTCATCTCTTTTCTCGGATCTCCATGTTTCTCCCCCTCCGTGGAGCCTCAAATGCTTCTAGGCTAGGAAAACCTATTTCCGGGATAAGGGAGTCAACTCATAGTCCGGGACTTTCTGCGAGAATATTATTTTCCTTCCTTGTCGAGGTAGGTCCGCTACACAGAGGTGCGCCCACAGGTTGCACTCGACAATTCTTGTCGAAGGAATGCACCACGATCTGACCGACACGAGGAAACTTCAGTGGTTGATTCCGGACGGATCAAAGATCCAGCCCAGTCTGCTCCAAGATCCCCATTAGGAGAATGAACCTGAGATATCACCGCGCACCGCCTGATTTTCGGGAGCGTCAACGGAACGTCGGGGGTGGGGCTTTTTCGAGGAGTAGAGGAATCGTTGCGATCCTTCCCAGTCGAAGGGGCATCTTGTAATGGAGTATCTCAGTCGGAGAAAATCGACGACGTACCGAGGAAAGTCATACAAGCTCCACGACAGAGCAAGAGTCTCCGGGAACTGTCGTGAAAGGTTCGGAACTGAACTTCGCCTTTCCCTGGTTGCCTTCCCGACGGCGGGTTCGTTCCAGAGGTCGCGACCACCACGAGATTTATTGCGACTTGATCCCTCGAAATGAGGAACGAGGAAGAGCCTCCGCCTCTTAAGCTTCCGAATGGATTCCTCGGCGGGACTGACACGCAATAAAGTTGCCATTCCCCCGGGATACGTAGTTCGCGACCTCTATCGATATACCGACCTCGGTCGGGTCGCATTCACGACGCTAAAGACTTCGGGTTCGATTACCGCCCGAAAGTTCGTGTCATCGAGGAGCGTCGCAACACACTTTCGACCGATGCATATCGCAAGATACTTTTCAGATATCAGGTGTGATTGTTCCGATCCCTGGCGCATTGTAAATAACTCCTCGAGACATCTAAGCAGACTCGACGAGACGTTTCAATGCAGTTTTCGAACAAAGCCTTACATTCCGAAGGCCGCTCACACATGACATGGTTCGGCTCGGTGTGCAGAACACTTTCATATTTTCAAATCAACGGATGTAGTCGTGACGCCAAGCCAAGGTCAATTCAATCAGATGGCTATTAGAAAGGTTGAACAAGAGTTCACCCTGTCAGCTCGAGAGACGTGCGATCTAGAGGAATGACGCTTCGGACTTTCTGTCCACAGAAGACCGTGGCTTTGGTCAGAGACTGAGAATATTCCCCGATCTCCACAGAAAACCTCTTGACAGAAAAAGCTCCCTCGTGAACTGTGGTTTGCATGACAACTCACCTATGCCGATCAACACCATCAGAAGGACGACCGAGCCCACCGCTGATCCACCGTAAACGAGCACGAAATGAGCCGCTTCGTACACATTCTCTATAGTCGGAAGACGCCAATTAGATAAATTCTCCATTTTCTGTCAATCGATACGAGACCTAGCAGTCGGGGAAACCGGAGATCATCGATGACAACGAGCTCGTGGGGCCGAGTGAGCGTCAAAACAATTTTCGAGAGCAGCTCTTCGTACGCTAGCTTTCGAACGTTGCGTGCTCGATGTACACCATGTATGATCGGCTGTTTGGGTCGCTTCAGTGGCCGCTCGGGCGGCGGCTGGTACGAGAAACCGAATGTCGACACGAGCGAGCGGCATTCGAGCGGTTCTGGGTTTTAGAATCCAAAAGAGAGAGGATCGGGAATCCTCTCCCAACCTCACACTCGAATGGCAGAGGCTGTAGCGAGTTTACGCGATGGAGGACTTCCTGTGGAGATAGCTAATGAAGCATCTCGAAAGAAAAAAGGGCCCATGATCGGAACGCATCGACCAGATATAAGAACCGATGTGGAGGAGATACCAGCAGCCATCATAGCTCCCAGTCCCCTCAAAAGAGGGGTAGAGATTCGGCGCCAAAAAAAGATCCGCGCGGGCTCCGCCTCTCCCCGCGAGGAATCTGAAGTAGGCAAGCTGAAGCATTGAGTTCTCGAGTCGGCACCGGCGTCTTCTGGAATCGCAAGCGACCATTCGCTCGGGCGGTCGGGCCTCTGTCGATGGGAGAATCTAATCTTTCCGGGAACTCGCCGAGGCCGATACAATCTACATAGGTTCCGAGGAAAATCGATTTCCCGAATCGGAGGCAACACCGATTATTTGAAAGCTTCCTTACACCGCGGCAGCCATCGACTTGCCCTCCGATATCTATAAATCACAGCAGTCACGCTCCAGCTGCCACAGTCACGCTTTGAGCTCAAAGACTCTACAATATTCTATTTCATGCGTGGATAGTCACGGGATTTCCTGGATAGGTGTCAAGTCCGAGAGTTTCCCCGCTTGGAGAGGAGTGGGGGGAGAGGGGAGGTCCTCCCTTTTTCTCGGCGCAGAGAATCCGAGAATCCATTCAAGTCGGGATTATTGCCCGCACAACCCGTTTTAGGATTTTTTCGAAAGGAGCATTCTTGACGCTTCCCGAAACAGGAGCCTTCAGCGATGCTCACTACCTAAAGTCCAGGAATCAAATGAGACTTCGAGATAGTTAAGCGCGAGAGCCTGGACTCCCACTGCTCAGTAACTTAATTTTTCTCTCCCCCTCCGCAGCATGGAAGAGTTCGACGTCCACGCGAGTCATGTACATCACCATCTTCACGGTGATATCCTTCATGTGTTGCGTCATGCTATCGAATGCCGTAGTCCAGTGGGCAGACCAGCAGTTCGATCTGTGTTGGCCACTAAACTGCGGCTCGGATGCTGGATACCTCCTCGTATACCGAACGATGTTGTGCGTCGCGTTCTTCCATCTCGTCATGGCAGTCTTGACAATAGGTGTCCAAAACTCCAGAGACATCGTATCGGGGGCACAGCAAGGGTTTTGGGCCTTCAAGGTATGTTGGATGCGTCCTATAGGAGCCAGAACCCCGTCTCCGTATGAAAGTGCCTCCCCCGATCGGGTGACTGAACGAGCGAATGCATATAAAGATTTATCTCCTGCTCCTGCAGATCATCATCATGTTCGGCATGATCATGCTGTCGATAAGGGTACACCTGCACCAAGGAGTTTTCATCGGTATTGTTAAATACGCGGGGATTTGGGGAGGTTTTGGTTTCATGATCTTCGCGTACCTTGTGATGCTCGAGAGTGCTTATAAGTAAGTGAGGATAAAAGGGGATGAAGGATCATGGGGATGTGGAGGGGAAATTCCTCACTGGAATTTATTCATATTCAATTCGCTTAATCGCCTCTTTCCCCAACCAGATACGAAGACTGCCTGGGACGAAACGGACGCAATGTAAAAATCATCACCATGGGCGCACTTGCTATACTATGCTCGGGCGGCATAATCTTGTCCCGATTCGGATACAGCGAAGCGGGATCGACGCAGAGTTCGACGTCGACGGCCGCTTCGAAGTGCGTCGTCAAAGACTCGATGATGAAGTTGAACACGGCGCTCTATTTGATCGTGCTTGCTATGACCCTAATCTCAGGCTTCCCGGACGCGCACAGTAGACCCTGTCGCAACTTGCTGCCGGGGGCAGTAACGCTCAATTTCCTCGCGTTTCTCACCCACCTTATATCGAGAAGCAATATTTGTGGCGAGTTCGGAAAGAACCAGTGGGATGGACTCACATTAATCTTAGGACTGTATCTCAGCTTCAGTACTCTACTCTACCTGCTTGTGAGGTGAGTCGCGGACAGCAACATTTACAAATCCAATCATACTCGGTCTGGAGTCTGAACTGATGCGACGCAGGAGCAATCCGAGAAGCTCTTCCGATCTTCACCCTGAGTGGGTGCGCGGAATTTCTTCCGGAAAGTGAGCCACTCGAAATCTTCCAGACGCAACGACCAACACTCTCCATGCTCATCGTCGACCGGGGTTTTGGGTCGGTTCTATCGTAGAATCTACCTCAGAGGACCTCTCCACGTTCACTCGAATGATATCGATCAGATCAAGTTCCGTAACTACGACGAGATATTCGATGAAGTTGATCAACTTCAATACTCATGGTGCGTCTTCCATTTGGTGCTCTGCGGGGCGGCACTTTTCGTGATGCTCACACTCACTAATCTCTACTACCCCAAGAGGAGTACCAAGGTGAGTTGCTCTCTCGCTATCATATACCCAACGAATAGATCGCACCCCCCCCTTCGTTCACAGCTCCGTTTAGTTCCGCTTCCCAATGCTCTCTTTCTTTCCAGACAAGCCAGTACGAGTGGGCGATGGGCGTCGACGACTCGACCCCTAGTCCGCCTTTCGCAGATCCGCACGCAACACCGCTCTTATGGATGCACGTCGTTGCATCATGGGTTTGCGCAGTCCTGTACCTGTGGTCTCTTGTCGAAACGACCGTAAAACAGTCGAAGATTGCGCAGTTTTCGGACAGCTACGCAGTCTGACTTTTGGCAAAATTCAAGGGCAGCTCCGGTGCAAACCCAGATGACTCCAGCCCACCCGAATCCGCTATCAAGCTATCGAATCCACATCCACCGAACCGACCTAGAAACTTGAGCTGTCACAGTTGGAACAATGAGCAACGTTCATCTTAGACAAATCGACGCAAATACTATCATTGGTCGCGACTCGAAAACAGAACAGTGTACATTCTCAGCCTCTCTGAAATACATTTAGTGCATCAGAGATCAATACCCGACGACCGATATGCATTGGGAGACGGAACGAGGGCGAACATCCGGAATCGAGCTCCGAGACGATTCGGAGCTCCTCCCGCTGCGGGCAAAAACCGGTTGAGAGAGTGAACATGAGGAGCTTGAGAATTCTCCACCAAGCCTCAGATCAAGCCACCCTCTAAGAAACCCAAATAAACTACACGTAGTCGGTGAGCAGTGCTAGCGCAGTAGGTCGTACACCTCATCCTGGGCCAGAGGACGTGCGCTGTCTCCTCGTCCAGCTGCCGATGGCGACAAAAAGAAACGTGACGCGGAGTGATGATTATTCGATTGATGATCGATCACGATCAGCGTCCAATCGGCCAGGATAGGATTAATGGATGGTCAAAGTGAGCTTTCAAGAATCTCGTATATATATCTCAGTGCTTTCCGCGAAGGAGAATGGTACAGAATGTAAGGCGAGCATATGCCATCGTACGGATGCTCGGAAGATCTCAATGAGATCAGAGGAGAATCGAATGGAAGGAGCGAAATGAAGTCGAAAGGGGAGATTCAGACGAAAGAAGATGCGAAGAAGTGTTGGGGTCGACGTCGACTCGCTACAATCCAATACTGATGGCTTTCAAAACTGTAGAGGTTCAATTGTTTTAGTAAGAGCAGCTCACCTCGACAAGGTACAATTTCCACAATAATTGTTGGACAGCTCACGGCCCGGGCCTCGGTTGTCGCGTTAGCGAATATGCATCTTCCCTAGCTTGACATGCTCAAGGGCGATGCCAGTGATTTCGTTCAAAGTTCTCTTCTACTACTTCTACTACTACTATTACTAAAACTACTAATACAACAATTATTATCAATAATTGTACTAATACCACAATACTAGGAATAATGACGTCAACGCTGAGACGGCATAATATTACTACATCTGTTATCGACGTACCCTGTTGTAGCGGAAACTCCGAGCTCGACAAGATTCGATCGTGAAAATCATTCCGAGAAGCTAATCCAAAACGCGAGATCCAATCAATTTGGGGAACCTTAATCGCAATGAAGTCTATACCTGTGTTTCCCATCGGCTTGAGGTAATATCAAGGCAATCCACATTCCCGGGGGGAGCCCTGTGAGAGCTTCCCTCATGAAGTCGCTGAAACTCGTAAGTTCTGGCTTTAGGCTGGATATTGCCAAATCAAAACCTAGCAGATCCGGTGCGCGATCGGATAATCAGTCTATTCTACATTTTAAGAAGGAGCTTCCATTCCTTTTGATGGAATTTCTTCCGCATCGTCTCCTTTCTCATATCGAGAATTGGCTACATTTATCATCGGATCAATCAAGTTCGGTATCACGAAATCAAGCCCCACCCACCGCCGTTGACCCATGCGTACCGACTCCGACTGTAATGATGACAATATCTGACTGAATATGTAGGGACATATCAGGATGCGGGGCGATCTGGAAATTGATAGGAATCGATTGCTCTGAAAAGAAGGAGTCAATCGTGAACAATGCCCCGATGTTTACTCGCCCGGATCGGCAATCAAAACAGAGTGATGGCCAACACTCAGCGTATGTCGGGAGCCATACGAAAAGACGTGGTAGGCCGAGAGGACAGAGGTTTTATCGCGACTCTGGAGTTTATCCGCGCTTTATTCTATTCGAAGTTACTGGTTCGAAGTATCACAGATTTGATGGCGGTCAATTATAATTATACATAGCTATGAATCAGACGTCGCTGGGAAATACACTATGGAAGTTGCTGTAATGTTTGCGTATGGTTATCGATGACTGATATGTTTACCTGTTACAATGATTATCATTGCTGGCTTTATCGATGAGGAGAGGGGAATATCACTGTTTCAGCCGCGGATATCATTGGAGAGTACGAATCGACTGACTGAAAGATTGATTAAATAAGTTCCGATCATGTGAAATGATCATGTGATCGCATCACCGAGTATGTTATTGTGTTTCCCAATAATTGCTGGATTGCGACGTTATTCGTTGACTGGTGCCGAGGAGCGTTCCACCTACAGGCTATGAACCGATGGTTTCGAATTGTTGGAACGGAAATCCTTCTATCGGTAATATTGTTCACTGGTACAAGTCTACCATCACAGCGGACACCGATTAAGTTAACCATGGTACTGTTGCGACAGTGTCGCAGCCCTCGACGAGAGAAAATAAAAATGGATTAGCAAGAAAATAAAGAATTAAACCAGAGTCGAAGTTATTGAAGCAGAACCGTATGTCTGGATAGCATATCAGTTGGACGAAAATAATAAAGTTTATTCTACGCAGTTACACATCGGAACGATCGACTCTTCGAATTTTCCCCGACCCGCGAGGCGCTGTGTCGAGCCCCTAGTCCGTGACCTTGAGAAAGAAGCAGAGCTTGAGGATTGTATTTAAGTCCTTCCAGCAGATGCGGGCCCATGATATTCCTCGGGGGGGGGACGCCATTGTCTTGGAAGGGACTAGCCACCGATGATGATGAGCCTCAACTTGGAGCCCTGTTGCCCGGAGAGAGATCTTGGGAGGGAGGGGGGCATTGCCTGTGGTTTCGAACGCTCTCAGCAGGAAGTACCACAACCCGCTGATCTGATACCTAGATATATGCGGAATGACGGACTCGCGTTCCCAGAAAATTCAGAGCTCCACGCAATCTGCGTCCCAATATGATGTTGCGAGACTCTCGCTTTCTCCACTCTCTGAAGTTTCTGGGAATCTGAAATGAGGCGGGTTTCCATGACTGCTGGAAGTGAAGAGCTTTGTTTTGAAAGAATTCTCGACTTCGCAAACTTTCGCCGGTGTTCCACGAAGAGGCTCATCACACGCGGCTCCATCCCTCCCGAACAAGTTTCCAATCCTCGACTGAGGCATATTTTGTCAACCGATCCATCAGAGTTATTACCAAGACTTTCTCCGTCGATCCTCTTCAAATCGGCAGTGTATTCCATCGGATCCGCCCCTTAGACGGCGAGTCGTCCCTCGGCAAAGATGTCTCTAAGGGGTCCCTGAGCTCTGGACTCGTTCTTCCGGGGTTGCCGCGAACATTTATAGCTCATCGGCCCGACAGCCGAATGCTCCGACCGAAAGTGATATCGCGCAGAACCCAATAATTACATATGATCGGGTCGGAGGAAATTATGAGCATGCGAGGTCGTATCCGATGGTGTCGGAATGCCCGGGGACATCAGCGATTCGTTGAAGGCTGCAACAAGCGTAGTTCGATACCTATAACTTCCTCTGACCTCAAAAAACTTTGAATACCTCGTGAGAATGACCTCGCAAGGCCCCTACTGAAACGCTCACTCACGGAGCTTGCCTTGCGGATAAACGACCATCGACGGGCTCAGAATCGAACAGAAGACGCCGCGTCGAGCTCGATGAGCCTCCAGGACAGAGGCATCCGAGTTGGAGGCCATCGGAATTTCACCACGAGAGTTTTGGATGAGCTGTCAGATGAACTACTCGTCGAGAAAGACACCCACTGGCATTTTCCTATCAACACAGCTATTCGAATTCTTCCGCCCGCGACCCTCATCCCGGACTATAAACTAAGTATCGAACTATAAACTCTTGGTGCTCCATCACAAGATCGGCTCAGGAGATTCTCGGCTGAATACGGAACTTCAGCGCTCCCACCGAGAATATTCGAATCATCAATTGCGTTAGCCTAGAAGTAAAACAAGAGGAGATTCTCGGTCTGACTCCGGTTCTTGATAAAATTCAACATCTCCGTTTTTCCGTTCTTATTTTGTACGGAAACACAGCACGGCAGTTCAATACAATGTGAAAGCGTTTCCGGCGCGTTCCTCGATAGACCGCCATGTACACCCGTAAAACACCAGATATGACAAAGTCCAACCCCTTATTTACAAGTATTCCCCCGAAGACGAGCGTTCAGACAAGAATGACGGTGAGATAGGAACAAAACGCATCGGCACGAACGGAAGAAAATCCTCCCCGGCGTTACGCCACATAGAATCCTATGCTCGCGAAAACTCTAATCGCGAAAGCATTCCTCTCGTTACTCGTCATCTTGCCCAAGAACTCAGGCGATGAAACGTGAGCCAATACCTGCTTTCGATTCTCGCCTTCTGCCTCTCTGATCAGATCGACCAAATTGGCCTCGGAGAGCGGCTGAGCAGCTTCGGTTTGGATTTCAACGGACACCGAATCTTTCGCCTCGTTCGGCGAGCTCTCTCCGCAGGGTTGAGCGTCCTGGGGCGATGAGGTTTCGACGACGTTCTCGGCATCCATGAGCTCTTCGTCATCAGCACGGCAGACTTCGGCGTCCGCGGCGCTAGATTCCCTGTTCGTATCTTGCTCAGCATCGTCTGTATCGAAGAGGACTTTCTTGACACAGGAATCCTCGTCGGGTTCCAACTCCAGTCGAACAGAATTATTGATAGTGGAACAAATGGAGACGTCCCTATCGTTCTCGTTCTCGGCAGTTTCGGGACTCTCTTCGAGATCTTCGCAGAAAGACTTCTCGCACAAATCGACCCTGGGCGACGCTTCGGTCTCTTCTACGGCGACACCATTGTCGTCATCCTTGACGGTGAAAGGGGGGAAGAGGGATTTCGCGGTACGATTCTTCAAGAATGCACACACTTCGTTCGACCTGCTGAACGACACCCGTTTTACCGAGGCCCCGGTGGAGAATCGCTTTAGGATACTGCGTCGAGCGGACGGGGGACTAGAAGCCCCGAACCCGTTCGTGGGAGCAGCGAAAGTCAGTCGCCGATCGTCGGGTGGTGAGGCCGCTTGAGGATTGTCGTGGATCGGGAAACATTTGTTATGCCGTGGAGTCGATCCCGCGAGCATGTTCCGGATATCTGTTTGGCCTCCTTGTTTCGCCTGGGCGGCTTCGAGCATCTTCCGGGATCTTGAGGACGGCGAGTTTACCAAAAATGCGTTCTTCGGCGGCATCCGCATCAGGATCGGGGACTCGAAGTTTTGACCTTGAATGGAATCCTGGCTGTCAGATCAATCGTTCCTACAATCAGTCAAATTCGAAACATCCCTGCTTCCAGATCATCATCCAATCAATAGTATCTAATCCAATTATGTTGTCATCAGTGGATAGGGATGACCATAGTTTCTCACCTAGTTTCCTCTTACGCGCAGCAAATCCTCGCATCGGCGACTCAAAAGCAGCACCTTCGACGTCGCCTAGCTGCTGTTGCTGCTGCTGCTGTTGAATTTTCTCAGCCATTTTCACTAATGAGCTGGGCTGCTGATCTATCTCAACAGGGTCGGGCATGTCATCACCTTCGTTGTAAGAAAACCGCTTCTTCTTTTTCGCAACGGGCTCGTCGTTCTCGTTGTTCACGCCTTCCGTGGGAGGCAGAGCCGCTGCTTCGGTGTCATCGGGGGATTCGATCGGTCGAATACCCTCAATCTCCATACCAACGTTCGGATTATCTGCGGATGATTTTTTATCTTCTTCAACGTTGCCGAGCTCAGGGGCCTGGACGATTTCCACATCGTCCTTCTCCTCAGCCTTCAACTCGACATCGAAATTGGCGTTCTCATCCACAACGGGCGCATTGGTGGTCACTGTCGTACCCACTTCGGTATCGACGACGGTTTGCGAGGGGTTCTTATCGACGCTTTGAGATAGGTCTTGGTACATGCTCGGGATCACCTTCGACTCGGCTTGCTTCTCGAGTTGATGCTCGGTGAAAATGCTCTTCTTCTTCGCGCTCTTGATCGGTGTGAAATCCTCTTTCTCCACGACCTTGCTGTTCTTCCTCGAGCTTCGCCTCTTCACCACCGGGGTTGGGGACTTTTCCTGGACCGCCGACGGGGCTTTTTCCTGGACCGTGGGTGCCTTGGACGCGAAAACAGGGACGGCGTCGGAAACGCCGATGAATTGCGACAAACTCTGCGACGATTGATCTCCTTCAACCACGGGCGCGGATATCGAATTTGCGTAAGCGATGAACGTGTCACGGATGCTACGTTTCCAGTGACTGGCGGCCACATTGAGGATATGCTTCATATGCGTCGGGAACTGGCTGTCGTCGGCGAAAGCCGCCGCTCTAGCGACGAGTTCCTCGGAGAGTTGTCCCAGGATATTCGTCAGCGGTGCTTCCACTTGATGCAGACAAGTTTCCCGGATGATGTTTCTCGTCCTGGTGAACTCGTAGAGTTGCAGAAGGTCGGGGAGGAGAGCGTTGCAGATTGCCTTACACACGCGCGAGTCCTGAACGGTATGGATGAGGTGATAGAAAATCGTCACAACATTTACAAACAGCTGAGAATCGCTCTTCGGTCGTTTCTCGTCCGAAATGAAATGAGAGCTCGTCTTGGCGATGTGTGACAAGCATTTGACGAGAGACTCCAAGTTCCCCAACGGCCTCTTGTCGGGAACGGACTCGGACGCCACTTGACGCACCACGGAGTCCAGAGCTTGACTGTAGAGCATCAATCGATGCAGATTGTTTTCAGAAAGAATCAACTCCTCGAGAAGGATTTGGCAAACTTCTTCGATCTGCTGATTCGGGACAATATTTTTCACCAGGATCGCGTTTGCCGCGAAAACAGTGAAGAGCTTCGACCACGACTTCACAGTTTCCTGCGTCAGACACGGGGGTTTCCTGGAATCAGTTGAGAATACGTCATTAGTTCGGGCATCACGCGATTCTTAGGCGACTATGCTGCGGCGCATCAGAGATGACTACATTGAATGGAAGATGGAAGGTGGGAAAAACTAACTTGAAGGGGTACCGGAGGCAACTCAGGATGGCACTGAAGTTGGGCTTGGAGTCTGAGCCCTGGTTGACTTCATGGGTGTGGGCGATGACTTCACACAAACGCTCGACGAGCTCGAGCCATATGGGGATCTCCAACGAAGGAGCGATGTCTTCGAAGTTCGAGACGACGTGCTCGGCAAATGGGAGAAAATCTGATGACGCCCGTTCCAGTAGAACTCGAAGCAGACTCTTGAATCGTTTTCTTTGATTTTCCGTTCCTTGAGAGCAGGTCACGCTGACTCGATTGATGAAGTGAACGGTCACGTGCGCCAGGGGGGTTTCGGCAAACTCGGGGACAAAATGGCCCGTCACGATCAGCTTCTGGGGCGTGCCATTCGCGAGATCGCCGAAGATGCCGAGGCTCTGCTCCGGATCGAGTCGCGTTTCTCGCAGTAATTTCATCGCATTGCTCATGAAAACTCGGCTCAAATCGTGCGCATCGGACTCGTACAATGAGCTCGCTCTGGAAATCAGTATTTTCAAGAGGAGGTACGGATACACTTCCGGTGGCGGTGACGATCCCTCGAGAATATTGCTGACAATTATCTCTAGGACTTCCCGCATCAGTGCTGAATGCTTCACAAAGTGCTCATCTTTGAGCACGTGCTGATTGACCGGGAACTTTTCGTGTAAGCCGTTCATTTCTTTGAGTATTTCATTGTTACCTCTGTAGAGCACCAGAGCGAACACCGCGTAGGCCTCCCGAGTCACAAGACGGGTCGTTTGCGGGAGATCGAAAGCGGATTTTGCTTGCTGGCTCCGGGACAGATTGAAAACCTTCTGGATCAAAGGCATGACAACCTGGTCGAAATTGTTCTCGGCGTGACTTCGAAGAGAGCGGACGAGTTGCCACCATACCGAGAACTTGTGAACGTTGGTCTCGGACTCGGTGTCGCGATAAACTCGGTTCAGTGGGTTGAGTAGGAGCGAAACGTAGTTCGATTTTCTGACCGTCGACTCCGGTAGACGTTCGATGAAGGTCTTCCACGAATTGAAAACGTCGATGTGGATTTCAGGGTCGGATTCCTTGAAAGCCATGGTGGCCACATGGAGTATTTTATTTGTGACATTCGTGGGAACTTTTTCGAATCGCGTGAATTTCACAACCGACCTCCACATGTTGAGCGCCTCCCTGTAGCGTTTCGCTTCGGCGAGGGTTTTCATCCTCGGAATGACCACCTCTTTCAGGGCCTCAATGGCATTCGTCTGGGTATTTTCATGGGAGTATACAGACGGTCGGATCGCAGTCAATAACGACTCTGAAGTCGTTGTCACGTCGTCGACGCAGAGAGCACACGCACTGATGCCAGCGACTACGTACTGAGGTGCGAGGTCTCCCTTGCATTTTTGAGAATTCTTCTTGTAGAAGTTCAGGATTTTCAGAGTCGATTCGACGCTCAACGAACATTTCAAGAGCACCGCTGATAGGACCGGAACAGCGGCAGAGAACAGGATTTCGTAACGATTCACAGAGTTGATGAGCCAGCCGACAACCTGATCCGGTTTTTCGAATTGATCTGCCGGGGTGTCTTTCAGTTTTTGAAGCTTCTCTGTCGCTTCGGCTTCACTTTTCGGATCCTGATCCATTTGGTGATCGACTGGAAAGCCGGAAAATTGCTCCCATATGTGTTTCAACATGATGTCTAACTCTGAGAAATTTCGATTGCGCAAATGTCAGAGAATAGGAGTCAGTCGACAGGACAGAGAGGCAAAGCAAATCACACACTGAGATTCCAGACGTTCGAGACGGAAGATGATTGCGACCGATTACCTCTGGAATGAAACAATCGAACCTTATATACCCCTTGATGTACCATGAAGATCGGTCCCTAGCTCGCGCCATTTTTCGGTGACCGGAGACACTCTGATTGCCCCCTGAGCACGGAAATTTACGGAGCTCTTAGCGTCCCCACGAAATTCCGAAATCTAGTACCCAGGTCCGGGAAGTCATACTGATTAGAGCCATGTATCAGAGAGAGCGAGTTATTCTCTAACAGCGACGGAACATCTAAACAGACGGCTCGGAGACCATTTCCAAAAGAATAGCTACTCTCCCAAGAGGTATGAACAGGTGATTCTCCGGAACGGCAGAGACCAGCGAAGCGTCGCACCGTTGCTTCAGGAATCGATGATCGGAAACCGCGAAACCACAGCACTCCTCCGAGAACGGAGATCGCGAGGCTGACGATCATGCCGTTCTCAGGGAAAATTTTCGAGGAAAAGTTGTCGGGACTTCCTCTGCTCATGGCGCGGAGAGTTCCGCAGATGTTGCGCACCAGGACGACCGGATATGTTCTGCCTCATTCGTGTCTCCGAAAGGCGGATAAGGAGCTGCTACAAACTTTCCAGGGATAAGCGTCGCGAATTATCAAATGTTACTCACATCAGGTGGGTTGCCGCCACGTTAAATCCTATGTCAAAAACTTTCAAGGGACTGAGCTCTGGGAACGTTCACTCCATCGAGATCCGGCCAGTCGTTGAGTCCGATAATTGACGAGTAACTTATGAGTCGAAAGAGCCGTCAGCTCGCCGTAGATGAGAGAAAATCGCTAGCTGCAGCCTTTTGTGTTCTATTCTTTTCTTGGCGGGCGGCTTCGACAAGAATGGCGCCTCTTTAAACGAAGACAGCGCCGGGCTGCGAGAAACATCGTCGAATGTAAACAAAGAGCACAGACTGAACAGCCGGGGCGCCAAATTTGAATTCCCAATGCTCGGCATGGGTTTGCGATGCAAATCCAAATCCGCAGCACGTCCCCGGCGGGAACGCATCATGCTGGCGCGGCTGGGAGGAAAACGCGACGGCTTGCGCTCTCTGAATGCACTACCAATGATCGGCCACGTGAAACCTATTTCAGCCTGCCAGAGCCGCGATAGTCAATTCGCTGTTTCCCACAGGCTCGGCAGTTCAGAGTCTGAACTTCAGACTCGAGGATTCAGTTGTTTGGAGTTGCTTGAGTGGGATACTCTGACGAACGTTTATTGGGGAAGCTCTTCAAAACTGAACGCTTACTCAGTTCAGAGGATTCACAAAGTTGAGAATACCGGGGGTACCGGCCTTAATTTACTGATCACCCGCATCAGAAACTCGACTCTCATTGCGGGTTCATATTTCTCGCTCTAAAGGAGCGGAAGCTGTACAAGAGCACCCTGTAGAAATTGAGGCGAACTCAAATAAATCACTCCTCGATACATTCGAGATTTCACGAGCGCCCACGGGCGGCATTTTCTCTGCAGCGGTTCCTCGATTGAGATCGTAGAGAATGTTTTCGCTGCTTACATCACAGAATGTATTCAGTAACATTGTTTAGGAACGTTTTCAGGAAGGATTTTCGCTCCTCTCGCGTCATGCGTTGTAGAAATTCCGGGGAGGATATGAATTTGAGCAAATCTTCTCTCTGAGCTCCTGCGGCTGCTTTGATTCGATCTACGATCGTCTGTTGCGGCAGGTCGGGACTCGACGGTGCGTCTCTTGAAAGTTTCCCCGCAGCGCCGACTTTGGATATTGACGGTCTCTGTTTCGTTTCAAGTTTCGCGGGTTTCTTCTTCGCCTTGGTCAATTGATCCAGTCCGTTGTCCGAGGAAGACGCGTAGCTCTCCGGTAACGCCGTTTTTTTCGACGTTTCTAATTTAACGTCGACATCCGCCACGGAGTCGCTGTCCATTCCGACGGACTGCTCTCCGGTAGACGATTTCGCTTGCGAGCGTCTTGACTTGGTTCTGCTCAGTGTGGAGCTGAGTCGCATTGGTCGAAGTTTCGTGGTCATGGGTGATTGCGATGGACGCGCTGAGAATCGTCGTGGATCAATTAATCACTTAATCGAGGAATCGTATACTTTTCGAATATATTATTATTCATGGAACGGAGCTGTCGCACAGCCAGGAGACCATGCGGCTCATCAGAGAATGGGCTCCGGTGTACTCACCAAGTTTTCGTTTTTGTGCGCCTCTCGGTTTGTCCGCGTTTTCGTCTATCTGCTCGCTCGAAGACGGGAGCTCCGATATTCGTCGAGACGGTGCTCCCAATCCAGGAACCTTGTCGTCAGTGCGAACGTCCGCGCTCGACGACTCCTTATCCTTTCGGTTCCGACCTCCGACAACGAGTGTTCCCACACCATCTCCCGGCGAAGCTTCAGGAGAGCTTTCCGTGAAACCGAGTTCTGAATTGTCATCCGAGCTGGAAGGTTCTACTACTTTTCTCGGACTGGGTTTTCGGCTCGATTGGAGGGATTTGCGCGCCGACTCCCGAGTGGGGGGTTTGCCGTTCCCATTATTAGTGGAACCGTTGGAGGCTGCCGTGGCTGTGGGAGAAACTTGCTCCGCTGGAGCCGACCCTCCGTCCTCGGGCGATTTCGACGGGGGGCCCATGAGTGTCCCTTGCGAGCTCTGTGAGAGATCTTCGTACATGCTGGGGATAATTTTTTGTTCTTTAAGCTTTTCCAGCTGATGTTCGGTGTAGATTACGCTCTTTTTCTTCGCCGCGCTTATATGCACAAATTCCTCTTCGGCGGTGGGTTTCGATTTTCTTTTCGAGGGTAGGTTAGCTTTGAGGGATCCCTTCTCCCGCGCATTCCCGTTCCTTAGAGTCGAAGCGTCGGGCGTGGACCTGGTCCACTTCCTCTCCGGCTGTCGGTCCGGCTCCTGTGGGGCCTTCGTCGAAGGCGACGGTCTGGGCGACGATGCTGGAGTTTTGATTGGAGAGTTGCTCGTTCGCTTGCTCGCAGTCTCATTCGGTAAATCCAATGACAATAGTTCGGCTAGTTCATGAGCGGTGTCGTTTATGGAAGCTTTCCAGTGATTCAGGGATTCCTTCACGACAAGCCGGATGATTTCCAGGACTGGACCCTCCTTGGGGAGCTCTGCCGATCTTTTCTTCAACGCGTAAAGAACGTGGTCGAGAGCTGTGAGCAAAGCACTTTCCACATGGAACAGCGGCGAGTTCCTGAAAATGGACTTCACCGCAGTCTTCTTGAAGATGGGCACGAGCTCAGGAACAAGTCTCACGATGATTTCCTCACACAGCACCGGCGACCTGCTGTCTCGCACCAAAATATGAACCATTTCCACAACATTAACGTAGAACTGACACGGAGCCCTGGACTGTCTCTCTGGCGTGAGTTGCTCACAACCTTTCCGGATGAGGCTGATCACGCACCTCACTAGGGGCTCGAGATCGCCAAGGGGTTCCGGTCGAGGAGTCGGAGTGGACTCCAGAACGCAGTGATCCACCACGGACTCAAACATCTGGGAAATGAGCAGTAAATGATTGAGGTCGTGGTGGGAATCCGAAAGTTTCTCGTGTATTCGACCACATATATCGGCTATGAATCGATTGGGATCGAAGTCTTCTCCCCGAGAACTGCTCTGCATGAGAGCTCCATGCAATTCGATCCACTCTTTCGACACTGCTTCGGTCAAGGGGAACTTGGAGCTGAAAGGCGAAAGAAATATTTACTTTTTACGAACGGGTGAAAATCGAAGGTTTCGATACGAATAATTGACACGATCAGTGATTCACGCCTCATATTGTTTACGCACCTAATCGGAAGAGCTAGCGCATGAGAAAACGTCCTCAAGTCTTCCTCCAATGTAACCACTTTGCTTTGCCTCAACTGACTGCTCAGGAAGGCCGATACTTCTTGCCAGGACTCGGCCTGCAAAGACTCAGCATCCTGCAGGCTGACCATCAGAAGCCCCGAGAATCGAGGCGTGCTCATATTTCTGTTCCCTCGCTCCAAGAGCCTTCTGAGTCCAGGCCTGAATTTCGTTCGGAGCGATTCATCCCCAGCAGCCCGGCAGAGGTTCGCCACTTGTCGCACGTAAAGACTCGCAAACGTCAGTTCAGGGAACTCGTCCTTGCTGGAGGATCCTTGTCTGAAATTGAACTGCGGAGACGACATAACTTCCGGGGGGAGAGCGTCTGACAGACACTGAAAAATCCTCAATGACTGATCAATGTCCAGCTTCGTCTGCAGGATACCGTACACCGCCGACAGGATCGATCGCACCATGTCATGGTGTCCGTTCTCGTGGAACGAAGCGACTCGGGAAAGAAGCACTCTGCAGAATAGGGTCGAATAGTTTCTTGGCGGCGGAGCGACTTTCTGTGTGATGTTGTTCACTATGAGCGAGATAGCTTCTTCGAAAACGCCGGAGTGTTTCGCCAGACATGAGGTTTTGATGAAATTCTCATTCAGCTTGAAGTTTGGCTGTCCCAACTGCTGGAGCTCTCGACGCAGTTCCGGGTTACCGTCGAACCATAGAAATACCAGGACGGTGTAGGCGCATTGGGGAATGATTCTGGTCGGATTGGCGAACGCTGTCGGATTGAGCTGTCGAGCTTTTGCGGAGGGCAAACAAAAAGCTTTCTGCAGGAGCGGCACCACGACATCATCAGAATGGACTTCGGCATCTTCCCCAAGCGAAACGACGTGTTGCCACCAAGCAATGTATTTTTGTAGAGTGCTATTCGCGTCGGTGTCACGGTACGTTCTGTTCAAAGGGTTGAGGACGAGCCTTATGTAGGCGGGTTTACGCAAAACTTCCTGCGGGAGGTTCTCGATGAGTATTTTCCAGCTTTTGAACGCAAGGGCGTGGTACTCGGGATTATTCTCTTTGAAAGCCATGGTTGCTATCTGGAGGACGTCATTAGTGATCGATGAGGTGATTTTCAGTTTTGTGGAACGGACGATTGCTCGCCAGACCGCAAAGGCTTTCTTGTAGTTCTTCGCTTCAGCCATTTCTTTGAGCTTTGGCACGATTCGCGTTTTCAGAAGAGATGTCATCACTTGAGAGTTGTCGTCAGACTTAGCGGCGGCCTTCCGCGCTGTCTCGAGAATTTCGCACACGATTCCATCGAGTGCGTTGTTTTCTTGGCTGAGAGCGATGAATGAAATGAATATGAAGTGCTCGACCCAGGCCCCTTCGCATTTGTTCAAGTTATTCTTGAAAAACATCATGACTTTCTCCGAGACATCTGAATCAGTGTTCTGCTCGAGAATTCTTCCGAGAGCAGCAGCGGCCTCTCCGAAGAGTTTGGGATGTGTTTTCGGCACTTTTGTCGTCCATTCGACAACTCGTGAGAGGTTTTCGACCGGAACGGAGGCTCGTATGTCTCCCAGTTTTTTTGATATCTGAGACTCTGTGAGAGACTTTACGTCTTCGAGATCCATGGTGTCTCTGTGAACGATAAGGAATCGATGAGTAGAAAAATATTCTCGCCGAAGCTCTCCGATGATAGAATAGAGGGAGCTCGAAAATTTCCGCGAATGGATCGAATTGCAGAAATTTCACTCCGGATCAACTTCCACTCCCCCCGTCTCTGGAAGCCGGACCCTTCGGTCTCGAACTAATAGGGAGCGCAACAGCGTTCTGGGACCCGAGACGTATAGAACCAGGGATCAGGAACCTCAAACGAAAGGAGGAAAATACGCCTTCGAATTGAAGGGTCCGCTAGAATGAGATTTTCTGTGCCACGCATTCGGCTCCAATCAACACGAACAGTTCCAAGGATTTCGCGTTAGATTTGTCGAGACTCTCCAGTATATTCCTCGGTGCTATCTCGGATCAGGACTGAGCTCGAATTCGGGGGGAGAGCGCGACTTCTACGCGCAACCTGGCACCGAGAATCAGTTCGACACTCATATATTATTCGGCCCCAAAAAAGTCAACCACGACCTGCGCTGACCAAAGAGTCAAACGCTTCGGAAATATCGTTTCCCCACCCTTATTTCATTCTCGATGATCATGAAGGCAATTAGCTCCGTTATACAGGTCCAAGAGCGGATTCCCCATCGCGACTGCGTGCCGAATAGCCGACTGCACCTGATTCTCCGCGAGAAAGGACGAGCTGTACGACTCTCGCGAAGTCTCCCGGCGGTGCTCTAAGTTCCACGAGGATTGGCGCGATAAGAACATGGTCTATCTTACCCAGTTTGGAGAGGGGAAGAACCGAAAATCCACGAAGTCGAAAACAATACCATCGAGATCCGTCAGTTCTCCAAGCTTTTGGCGCTCATCTCAACGTTTCCGATCGCGGCGCCACCTGTCATGGATGCATTTTCCCGCTCAACCTTCCGGACACACACTCGCGAACGTTCCCGCAAGCCACCGCGTCGAAACAAAACGGAGACCTAATGTAAGGATTGACTCATGCGGATGAGCTAAACCAGAGCCTCGTTGCCCGAGATTCAGAAGCGGCCGAAATATCATTTTTTCTCGATTTAAAATAGGGGATCCTGCGGTAGACGAGCGTGGAGAGGGCGCGAAGACCGTGTAAACAGAGCATTCTCTTTCTCAAGCAGAGAGGAGGAAACTCGAGAGAGAAGACTCCGTCAGCTCAGCCTTGCTCGAAAACACTCGGAAACGTATTTCCGTAATGCCGTAGCTGAACAGATTTTGGTGGAACCTAATCTCGGATCGAAGTGGCGGTGAAACATGACGCGATGCATCTGCTCCCTGAGAAAAACATGACCCTGGACAAAACGAGCCACCGTTGGCGCACTTGGCCGAAATTGGCCATTGCACTGCTCGTGGCTTATGCATTGTGGCTCTTCTTCCAGAACAGATCGGCTCAGTCGTATGATAAGAGGTACCGGTCAGTACAGACATTTGGATAGGTCGGAACTTTCAGTCAACCACAGAGCCCCGTCGGCTCCCGGCGAGAGAGCATTCGTTCCGGTCGAGGTTTCTTCAGGCGGAGAGGAACTTCGATTCCTGTGTTCGTCGGGAGAGAACTAGTCTGGATCCCCGTTCTCGAAATCCCGGATCCCTTGCTCCTAGTTGGTGACGCGTCCAGAGTGCCTAGTTTCCTCTCTTTGCCACGGTTCCCGCGTCGGAGCACAGCCGAGAACTCTACGTTTTCCATGACATGATAACTTCTTCGGATTCCCGCACAGTACCGGGGCTCTTCAAATTTTAAAGGCAATGCTTCCGATCCACAGGGAGTTCGAGCCGCTCCTCGTCCAGGATACGTATTATGAGAATGATGTGATTGCCGGACATTCTGTCCCGACCGAACTATGCACGCACTGGAAATGCGTAGACGTACACCGTTGCGGCAAAACCGCCGAAAGGATCACCGCATACATTTACCCCATCACCAGGTAGGTCGACTGAGGTCACTGATCGTGAGACGGAATTCGTTTTTCTTCATCCGATCCGGCGGAATTCTCGTTCGCATGAGTGAACATTTCCGCGGATCTTCAAAAGTTTGTGATTCGGCTGGTATTCCCTATCGACCTCAAGGAGAATGTTGTGCGAAATCCGCTGAGCTCGTGAGTGCTTTCCAGATATGTGGACGAGGACGGTAATCAAGTCGTGCCGGAGACCAGCGTTGAATATATGCGAATGCTGGAGTGGTTGAGGAAATCGCATTACTTCGTGACCGATCCCAACGATGCCTGTTTACTCGTACCGAGCGTCGATACTCTGGGAGTGCAGCACCCGATGACTCCGGACGTATTGAACTCGCTGCCGTTGTGAGTAAAGTTATTCTGAACTAAACGAAAGCGGGGATGATTAGCAAATGAATGGTAAACTCCCGTCACAATCTTCAGCAGCGTATTGTCATCCTCCCCACAGAGAGCTTCTGTGATCGAATTTCGGATATTCGAACATGAGCAGGAACAGGAAACGTCGAGAAATTATTCTTTTTCCTCTGATCTCTCCTAGTTGGGGGGATGGCTCCAATCACCTCGTCTTCAACCAGCTCCAGAGCACGCCACGAACAGGGAGGGCGATTCACGTATCGGCTGCTCTCACAGATCAGACATACCGACCCGGATTCGATGTCAGTATACCGATACTGCCCTTCTCCGCCTACCGGATAAAGGATAAGGGAGACAAACTGAGGTAAGAGCCTCTCCAAGACGGATCAATCCATCGGTCCTCATCATTCCTTTCGCCAATTCCAAGGTGTTGGTGAGTTCCGTCAGCCTCTCGACGACGGATCCGAGAATGAATGAGGTCTCCTTCTATACAGATTCAGCAGAGCGTGGTCTCTGGCGATTCCGCGCTGGGCGGAGCTCCCCGATTGGGCGGAAAAACTTGTTCTCAATCTGGCCAAAAGCTCTCCGGGAGTGACTCTGCTCGAGCCCTGCACGAAGCGACGCGGCAAACGCTGCGCCTATACAACGTTCTCGATGGCGGAACCGCAGAAAAATGTCCTAATGGACTATCCGAAAGCTCTCGAGAATTCGGACTTCTGCCTGATCTTCAGCGGTGTAGGTGTCGAGTCGGCGTTGACATTCACCGAAGCTGTCAGCGCAGGGTGCATACCGGTGCTCATCCACAATGAAGACCGCATGATCCTGCCGTTTCCCGAGCGAATCGATTGGCTGGAGCTCGCGGTCAACTTCAACCTCGAGCGGCGGCCAGAAATCGTCAAGCATCTCGAGAAGTTCAGCGCTGCAGAAATTCGCTTCCGCCGCGAAAAGCTCGTTTCCGTCTTCGAACGGTACATGAGCTCGCCGGCCGTCGTGATGTCGACAGCGATGGAAATTCTCAATGAGCGGCTCTTCGCTCAACGATCGGGGCAAACGTACGCTTCCGACAGTATTCCGCGATTCGCTCAGAAAAGTCGAGGCTTCACCGCCGTCATCCTCACCTACAATCGTCTAGAGTCCTTGAGAAAATTGATCAGTCTGCTACAGAGCGTGCCGTCACTGGCGAAGATCTTAGTGGTGTGGAACAATCCGAACGTCGAACCGCCATCCCCTCTGATGAAAACGACAAAATCCCTCGTCGTCGTCAAGTCGAAGGAGAACAAGTTGACCAACAGATTCTATCCGTACAAGGAGATAGGAACCGAAGCCGTCCTGTCACTCGATGACGACATCTTGATGCTGACCTCAGACGAGTTGGAGTTCGCGTTCCAGGTCTGGTGTGAGAACGCAGACCGAATCGTGGGATTCCCCTCGAGGCTCCATGTCTGGAACAATCAAACGAAACGGTGGCATTACGAGTCGGAATGGCTGAACGACATCAGCATGGTTCTGACCGGAGCTGCGATCTACCATGTAAACTATGGACGACATTTCTTCGAGCTCGACAAGAGCCTCCGCGATTACGTGGATACTAAATTCAATTGTGAAGATATTCTTATGAATTTCCTCGTAGCAAACTTGACGGACGGCGCACCACCCGTGAAAGTGGCTCCACGCAAAAAATTCAAACCCGACACGCCTTCAACGGCAGCGAACTCGTTGTCGGCAAGCTTGGATCACATGAAAGCACGCTCGGATTGCATCAACAAATTTGTGGAAGCTTTCGGCGGAATGCCTCTCGGAATTTCACAATGCAGAGCTGATCCCGTATTATTCAAAGATAATTTACCTCTAAGACTTAAGCGATTCAATCAGATTGGCACTCTGTAAATCAAGCTGATTGATTGATTGAGCCTCTCGTTCCATCGTTGATCATCGACAGTTCTTTCTGATGGGCTGCGAGATTGATCGGTTTCCTCATGAAACTCCGATCCCCTCGGAGTTTTCGGCCGAGCCTGAAGATCAACAAGTCGTCACCGAGTCGCCTCCTGTGCCATCGTTTCCATCTTATAATGATTTATCGATTATTGATTCCATTGTTGACTCGTTTGAAATTCCTAGTCCATATCGTGGGTCTGCACCCAAATTCGAAACACAGTCTCCGTATGCTGCAGAAGCTGAGGACATATAGGCACGTCGGAATCAATGTGCATGAGAGACGGAGCGAACGTGCACCTAGATAGGGTCTTGTCCTGGCTGGCGTAGGCGCCGGTCGTGCTAGTGGTGGGCCCTCGATCGGTCGAGACCCCTGGCAGTAGGCTGCCAAGTAAATAAACTGGAGAGGAGGACAAAAACGACTTTCCCCTTTCCCGAGTATCCCCAACAACACCCCCCGGACCGCTATAGGGGAGTCTGTGAATAAATGTACATATGGAGCGAGTTATCCCCCAGGGCCCTGCGACTGCTCGGAGGGAACACTGGAATCTAGTCTTTCAATCCATGCGGAACACTTGTAAATTGTGAGCCATTGAGTATCATTAAAGCAATAGAAGCTGCTGGCTTGATCTCGATTCCGTGTATTCACTACGAAATGAGATTCATCCGCATCGTTGAGCTAGGAAAGTCTCCGTTCGGGCCCTCTTCAGGCATAAGTCTGATTCTTCGTAATGCGAGAGGGATAGCTGAGAGATTCCATAAGATCGATCCCTGTGGCTTCGAATCCATCGTGTCTCGTACAAGAGTTGTCCCCAGTCACTGTTCTCGCCTTCATCTCAATCTTCTGTCGCTTCGCTGGACGCGAAAAGAAGCTCCGCATATCTGGATACAGTACAGGAGAAAATGAACTTGAGGGGAAGCTTCATTTTCCGTCGGCGCGGAAGGTCCGGAGAGTTAGTCTGAAGATCGCTATCCATAATTTGAGCCCCTTGTTTCGAACGGAGAGATGCCGGATGTCCCACATGAACGGATACGCCGCATAAGTACGATCTGTGCGCCGGATTCCACAAGAAACGGACATCGTCTCCAGGACACCCTCCCCCTGCTTTCCCGATTTCCGAACCCGAGCGTACAGTGTAGTTGCTTGAAAAATTCTAACTAAAACATGAAGTCCCGGTACGGATCTCTTTTCCCTGAGATTCCGCTGGAAGATCCCGTTTTCTCGTCTGGCAGTTCTTTTTTCTTTTTCTTCCACTTTCTTCTTCGTCTTACTTCTTCGGGCGGGACTTGCGAGCGATCGCGCGAAAATCGGGTGAAGCTTTTTCGCATCTAAACAATCCTGATTACGAAGGACATGGCCTTCCGTTTGAGCCCAGACTCCCTGAACCTTAGGTCCGAAACGGTACCTCTCTGAAGAAGGAGGAGGCTAATTCCGAGATCTCGGACCATACGATTGAAGTTCCCGCCTGATGGGGAAAAGCAAAAAATTCCTGATGAGTCTGACAGGGGAGCCTCTCAGCTGAGCGTCGGTAATGCAGCTAACATCAGAACGAGCGACGCTCTGCACTGCTTCCCGTTCTCGAGTCGAATACGAGGCACCGTGTTCGGGCGTTGCGCAATCTACGAGAAACTATCCTCTTCGGGTTTTGCTCCTGGTTCCCGCTGTCGTCCTCAGCTCTCCGCGTCCAAGGGTGCTGCTCTCTCCTCCGACGGCACACCACTCCCTCATGGAATGTGGAAACAAACCTTACACGATCGCCCATGGCTACCATCTATAGAATTTAAGGAGGAATGGAAGGCTGTACGACGAGCGTATTCCGGAGCATGAACAGGTCCGCGACCCACCCCAGACACCTGAGGCGCGCAGTCGCTCGTGTGTTCGGACGTCGCCACGGTAACCATGCTTCAGGGCGATTCTCTCCACATTTCTCCGGATTGATTCAACCGACGGACTGACGTCTAACGTCGGTGAGCGTCAGCGTCGCGTTGTGGTGGCAACCGGAGGGATATCGTCAAAAGGAACGGTTCGCACAGAAGCAGAAGAAAAGTCAACTTTTCTGCGATTCTGATAATATGGCTCCGAAAACGTGTGAACTTTGCTGATATCCGTTCTGCTCGCTTTTGGGACGAAGTGCATCATCATGCAACCACTTGTGTACTCTACGTTTCTGTCTTTTCTGTCGTTTTCGTTGTCGGGTGAGTAAATGGGTATCAAGCTCCATTTCGTTTAAAGTGCGGAGCGGGGGGAACCTGTCAGAAAGAGTTGCGATGCTGAAGTACGAAGAGGCTGAATCCTGGAACGAATTCTCCGATTGTCCTGGTCGTTGCGAAGTTCGAGAATCTTATGCGTCGGAGTTTCTCAAGAAAAAAACGTTGGAGCCTCGATGAGTCACAATAGTTTCTCCCCGAAGCATCGATACGAGAAAGAGAGACAGAAATTTTCATCGAAGATAAATCATTTCCAGCTCTGAGAGTACCTCTCCCATATTAGGACTTCCTTATGCGAGACCCGGCTCAGCCGGCTCATCTTCATGGGGGAGAGTTGCGAGAGGGAAGCGAGGAAGCCCCTGAATGTTGAAAACTTCCATATAAGATCCTAAAACACACATGAAACGAGGAGAGACCTCAAATCGAAGATGGAGCTTACTTGCCCGCTCCCGGGTTGACTTTGTGACCATTTTCTTCTGGAGATTTTCCCCCGTGCTTTCGTAATCCATAAGCGAAAATAAAGTTTCGGGGAGCGATAACGGTAGAAGTCAAATTGTAGGTCTTCTCAATTCGTGAGGGAGTGCCGCGGTCTATACGGAAGCTGGGCCACGATGTTGATGCGCCGAAGTTTGTGTCCGATTCACCCTCCGGTTTCCTCCAGAGAAGCCTTTGAGGTCCACCGGATCTTCGTTGGGGAACTTCATATGACGAAATATTCAGAATTAGATAGGAAAGAGATATATCCGAGTCGGTGAAAAAATTCCCGCGCATTGTCGAACTCCTGAGTTTCTCATCTCGGTATGCATATATATTCTTTTTCGCTTTTCAGGTGTATTTGGCGCATCGAGCGGTAACCTGACGTGGTGCACAGTCAGCGACTCCGAGCAATTGAAATGCACAGAATTCGCCGAGGCAGTGAGAACGTCGCAACGGCTTCACGTTGAACTTCTGTGCGCTCAAGCACCGTCCAAAGATCAATGCATGAACTTCCTGGACAACCAGAAGGTCGATCTAGTCGAGTTGGATCCAGGAGAGATGTATTCCGGCGGAGGACTGCATTCAGTCATACCGCTCTTGAGCGAGCTCTACGGACCCGGTGAGTGGCGTGAATTTACGGAAGGGACGAGTTCACCGTGAACCTTCCAACTCAACCACCATTTCGATAGAATAATCGTCCCGACCACGGTTCCCGGCGGGGACTCTCTGGAAGAGCGAAAGCCCCCCTCCAAGTAGCCAAGACAAGCACCAGATTATCTGATGATGCCGATGGCAAGTTGTCTCGCGGAAGAACCAAATCGTTACAGGCTTCGCTCTGAGAGTGAAGCCCCCTCGGGCGCCGGAGGTATTGAGGAAAAAAAGCTCCAGATCTCTATCGGGAGATTCACGAGAGGATTCCATAACCATAACATCGATGATTCCTTCGGGAGGCTGATGAAATATCAGGAGATGTTCTGACCACAAAATTCTCGTTGTCGTTCAGAGGAGCAACCCGGTTTCTATTCCGTGGCCGTGGTGCATGAATACTCCAACATAAGCGACTTGCACCATCTCAGAGGACGACGGGTGTGTTTCTCATCGGTGGGTGACATGGCGGGCTGGGTTGTGCCCATGGCCCATCTTATCGACAATGGAATTGTTGAAGTGAATGACTGCAACAACCTCGTGAAAAGTGCTTCGCAGTTTTTCGGGCCGAGCTGTGCTCCGAATTCTCTTCTGGACAAACACAATCCCACTGGTGAGGATGTATGAGACCCACAACACATCGTCACATGTCCGTGACGCTCCCTTCCAATTGAATTCGACGAGGTATTTCAAGCGAGGTATTTCGCAGGGGACAATCCTCAAAAGATGTGCGATATCTGCGCGGGGCGAGCCGCGGATCGATGCTCTGGGAACGATCCTTACGCAAACTACGACGGTGCTTTCCGATGTTTGGAGAAAGACGGCGAAGTCGCTTTCCTCAAGCACACCACAATTCACGAAGCCACCGCCGACAATCCCTCGAGAAAGTTCAAGTTAGTGTTGATATTTATATGAAGATAAATGAAGGGACACAGATCGCGGCGTTGTGTGATTTGATCAACTCCGGCTCCGGGCTTCTGATGATGCTCCTATAGTACAATCGCCGGTCTATCTCTGCATCGCTACTATGTTATAGTTCGGGCCCGCCGTGGGTCATTATCGTAGCGACTTCTGACCATGTAATCATGCTGTGACATTCGAAGGTACCGCCTGCTGTGTCCTGATGGTCGCATCGAGTCCGTGGATCGTCACGATCAATGTAACTGGGGTTTCGTTCCGCCGAATGTGATCGCAACCACATCAGAAACACCGGAGGATCGTCGCCGTCTGATTCAAGATTTTGTCATTGTAAGTAGCCTCGGCGTACCGATGTCATGTTTGCCAGAGGTTGGAAAGTAGTCAGAGAGATTTTCTGTGGAATTTGCTTCAAGCCTTGATCCCGTCTGCAGGATTCTTTGCGGCTGTTCGGGAAATTTCCGTCCAAAGAGGTGGATGTCTCAAACACTGGATACAACACAAATAACCCGACAAGCAACCACGACTTCGGCAGCCAATTGGATTCCAACCGCTTCGGTTCCAACAATAACAACAATTTTTACCAATCGATAAACTCGTGAGTGTCCTTAATCCGACGGAGACACCTAATTATTTCATTCCTCCCGCTCATCAATATTTGACCCTCCGATGATTCGATTGCGTTCGACATGACCCGAATGCAGGTGTCCGCATTGAAAGCTATTTATTGCATGCGCTGAGCTCGTTTCGTTTCGAAAGCGACACACTCCTTCGAATTGGAGGGAATTCGAGTAACCCGAAGTGATGAGAGCTTCGAACGCATGCGTCCATTGACTAATCAGAATATTTTTTTCTCACAAGCCATTACGAAGGATATGACAGATCATCGATGCCCCGGTATACAAACAATAATTAATGTCACTGCATCATACTGAATCGTGCACCTCGAACTCACAAGGAAACTGCCGTCTAACATCCTCTTCCTCATGTTCTTCGAGGCTCACACATTCTCAATTTCAGCTCCGAGTTCCGACCTCCTTGGGAGACGCCGATGTCTCAGACTTTCAACATATTCAATAAGTATGGAAACGGCTCGAATCTCCTCATCCAAGACCGGACCTCACGTTTCGTTCGCTTGAACGGGCAGAAACAAACCTACGCCGGCTTCTTGGGACCACACCTAGAGGTGTTCAGTCAACTGGGGAAATGTCCAGTGCCGTCGGCGGGTTTCTGCGTGACTTCGACGCAGGAGTTCGAGAAATGTCAACAGATGAGGGTGGGTTCCTCTTGTTTCTGGATATCATCGCCCAGATCCCGATGTATAGAGGGAGAAAAAAAGAATGAAAATATTTCTCTGTTTCCAGGCTGCTTTCAGGGCGCAAAATCTCAAGCCAGACATACACTGTGTTCTCGCCCCGACCCAGCTTGTATGTATGCACATGATACATCAGGGCAATGCTGATCTCGCCATGTTCGAGGCAGGGGACATCTACAGAGCAGGGCAAAGGTTCGGGCTCCGACCCATCCTCGCCGAGCAATACAACCTCGATGAGCCATCGTACTATGCGGTCGGCGTAGCTCAGCAAAAAGACAAGGACACTGATCTCTTGTATCTCAAAGGCAAGTCTCCAGTATTCCTCATAGTGGGATGATTGAAGCGAGGAATGAGCCATATATTCAGGAATTGCGAAGAAACTCTCATATCGAGATTTCCTCCCCAAAGGCAAGCGCGTCTGCAGCGGTGGGATGTTCACAGCCGCGGGCTATGTCATACCTCTCGCGTTCCTACTCACCAACGATCGCATGAGGTCGTACGGCTGCGACTCGGCGAGAGCAATGTCGGAGTTTTTCAGCAAAGGCTGCGTGCCCGGTGCCCTCAACGAAGAATTCGCCACACCCTACTCTACAGACTACAAGTCTTATCGAAATTTGTGCGATTTGTGCCACGGCGAAAGTCGCAACTACTGCAGCAGGGACGCCTCAGAGCAGTTCTATGGACACTCGGGCGCTTTTCGATGTCTCGTTGAGGGCGGAGGTGAAGTAGCTTTCGTCAAGCATACGACAATCTTCGAGAATACGGCCGGACGAAATCCGCTTATGTGGGCGAGGAACGTCGCTCCGGAAGATTTCGAACTTCTCTGCAGAGACGGCAGTCGACAAACTTCCGACAAATACAGAGAGTAAGTTTTTATTTTCCACTCGCTGCGTCCGCGATCGACCTGTGCTGGGGCTGATCATGCGAATACGCGATTTTGTCGTAATTGGTTTCGGTGAGGGTAAAACCCTTACGCGGGTCGAGAGCTCCTCGAGAGGACATCGTCGCTGCTCGACATTCCTGAGATGAGCCATATCGGAATTCGGGAATGCTGCTCACTTCGGGAGGAATCACAGCTCGATCGTCGAATTTATTTCAGGTGTAACCTGGGGAAAGTGGCCGCGAACGCGATGATGACTTCTCGCCATAAAATTCAGCAAGAAATGGATGCTTACGTGGCTCTTTTCGTTTATGCGCAGCAGTTCTACGGGTCAAAATACAGCGAGGAGTTCACGTTCAAGATGTTCGTGTCCACCTTCGAACATCGGGATTTAATTTTCCAGGTTTGTCTGATTTAGGATTTTTTTCCAGATTCCGAAAAGTTCTGACGTCGGCCGCGGAAACAATTCACGTGTAACATTGCCCGGAGCTCCTTTCACCTCCGTCTTTTCTTCCAGGATTCAACGCAGCAGCTTCGCCCAGTCCCAGAAAATAAGAGGAACTATCGTCGCTACTTGGGTCTAGACTTCCTGAGCGCGATGCGGCTGGTAGATTGCAACGTAGCCAACGCCGGACACTCGATATTCAGCCCTAGCTCGCTCCTGATCGGACTCTTGATATATGTCTCTCTTTTGAAACTCTAAAACATCATGCCATGCTGTAAATACGAGCAAAATATCATAGCGCAGTTTCGGAGAACCGGATTACGAAGATTGGGGAATCGAGAAAAGATCGGCGCCCGGGGGGCGGGGAGTTGAAGAGCTCGAGCGGGACAGAAGTTTTACTCCCAAGTGTGCCCATTGTACAGGAGAAGTCTATCTATTTTTTCTACGACAAAAACTTAGGCAGCTAGGTGAAGTGAAAATACATATTGATGTGAATGAATCCACAGCGGCGGCATAAAGCCTACCTCGTTCACGAAGCCGAAATACACATTCCCTCATCCGAGGTCCCGATGAGATTTCCACGCGTGTCTGGGTCACCTCATGATAGAAGATCGTTCAGAGAGGCGAGTTTGGACCGTGAGGACCACAAAAACCGTCAGATGAGGTCTCGCTCTGGTCAGCACAACAATAGTACGCGGGAAACTCCAGCCTCGGGAATAGCATTCCGTCGCCTCCGCTGAGGATCTGTGTAGGTTTTCGATATTTATTCAACGTACACTTGAAAATTCCTAATCGGACGCTCTAGTCCCGGGGATTGAGAAAACGTGTGATTTGTTTGAAACTGGAAGAATGAAACTTCATCAACTCGACTTGTTCTCTTTCCGTCATATGAACGTTCCCGCTGTTGCTAGGAACAGAGACTGAGGATAGCTGGCGTCACCGGGGGCAATCTGAATCGAGCGGTCTCAAATAATGATCCATCGCTCAAAACGTAAAATAACGCGCCGGGGAAGAGGCGAGGTCTGATTCTTTCCCAGATTGGGATGCGATGAACTGTCCTGTGGAGGCTAGCTCGGATTCCGCATCGATGCTCGGGGTTATCTGCACTCGGCTCTTCCGAGGTTGGGTACCCAATATCCTGTCGACCAGGACTCTTAGTCCGTATTTCCTATGTTTCATGTTGTATTATTCGCTTGGCTTATCCCAGACCAGTCCTAGCCTAATGTCCCCGTATGGAGGGCCTGAGTGCGACCGCGGACAGCCTACGAATAGCGTAAGTGTTTTTGCAGAACCTCAAGAAGCCGTTGAAAGCTCCCGCGTGTATAAGAGACAAGTGTTTGAGAGCTTGTTCTCTGCATTATTCGCCAGATCTCGGTTCCGCCGGGTGCACGTGTGAAAAGTTCCCCTGAGCTACTACCTCGCGCGCATGAATATTTATTACATTCATCATTCCTTTTCTGAAACTTTTTCTTGCTGACTGCATCCCTTGCGTTTTCTCTTGACCGAACGAAGCGCTCCTACTTTCTTTTCGAGACCCAACAAAGGATTCTTACTCCCGGAGAGAGAGGCAGAGATGTGCTCATCTCGTGATCATTTCTAAGGAAGTTCTCGGACCTGCTCTACGCTACTGCAGGAGCGACTCGGATTCCTTTGGTTCAGCACTTCGTCCAGTGGCTTACCTACCGATCGGGAGTAAATCAAGGAAACTTCGGACTTCGGCATCGGCTAATGCCATCGCGATTTCTTCAGGAACGGGTCTCGATCGGATTATGCAGTTCGCCCTCGCGTCCCATCATCCCTGTGTCGTGCGGATAATTCTTTCGCTCTCGCGGGGACATGTACCGCCTGTGACTTCTAGCCTCCGCTTCGGTGGAGCGGACAATCCTGCAGACTGTTCGCAAAAATGCGGTGATCGCTTCAAAGTATTCGCTGACTGTCCAGGCTCTTTCAATCTAGTCCTCGGCTCCTAGCGCAGCATGCCTTTTTTAAGTCAACGCCCAATCGCGGCGATTTCGGCTATCCGGCTTATCAGTCGCGTATCAATCTTCGTCTCACAGAGGCTACGTTGTTCGTCACTCCGTCGTCTCATTTTCTCTTTAGACTTCATCTTAAACTGCTGTGGCCCAGAAGACTGTGAGTCCCCATTCTCCGGGTTTACTGAAATTCGGATTCGGGTGTACCGTGAGAGAAGAACCGATCGACTGATCCGATTGCCGATTCCGACTGGCTCGATGGGGAGTCCGACAATCCATTACCGATGATGATCAATCCTCGGCGAGGATACCTTGATTGCTGAATTTCTCATGGCACTCATGTGTGGAACCGTGGATTGATCGCGGAAAAAAATCGCCGAAGTCGCGACCGAATCGCGGGGAGCCGCATAATTCGCTCGTAGTCGCAGATAAGCTCGATTTTCGCTCGATCCTCGCGGGAACAGCAGCTCCTCGGAGCAACCGAGCTCTGCGAGCTCTCCCTCGTATCTCTCATACTGATTCAGCTGTTCTTTCGAACTCGGGGCCCAACTCGAGAAGTAGCTGAGAGCCCTCCGAGCCTCGTGGAGTTCTAGAGCTCTTCCGGAATGCCCCGAGTCACGTTCATGATCAGAATACGTTCCCTGTGCTTTGTCGGAGTAAATCAGATTGATGTATTAGAAAATCAGGGAGTGACGAAAGTCGCAGATTCGTTGAACTTTGTCGAAAATCGCGGTTTCCTCGAACTCCGCGATTCTCTCGAAGCCAGCCTTATTCGTGAGAAACACGAATGATCCCGCGCATTCTCGGCCTCGCTCATTCCCGGTGTGCGATGGAATATTCTAGGGATCGAAACTCCGGCAGATTCAGAGAGTCTCGGATCCCGACGATTGTATCCTCAGCATCCTCTCGACCGCTGGCCCGATTCCCTGATCCCCGAGAGCTCCGTTCCATTCATCGTTTCGTTTCCTCAGTTTTATTTTAATGAGTGAGCGCTGCAGCGCTCGGAGGGTTCGGCGTTTGGGTGCTCCCGGAAAGGAAACCGGCGTCTCATTTAAATTGTGAGTTGCTCGCTGCCCGAGTCACATTTTCAATTTTTCGCGAGCAGACTCCTCTGATTCCGCCGCGGGATGGCGAGACTGGGCTGAGGGGGCGTATGGATTGTCTCCCGACCCACTATGAAATGAAAAAGGTCGACCGTGGTCTTCCTTCGACCGGACTCGGACTGACCAAATGAGCAGAGCATCCCGTCTCGAGAAACACAGAATCGGGACCTGTACTGGAAAATTTTCATCCCCATCCCGCTGTGAAGGATGCGGCCGATTCTTTTCGTTACCGTGGTCATCAAACTCTGTGAGCTTGCGGGATACCGGACTATGGAGGCGGAGCGCTCGGAGGAGAAAGACCACATATCCACAGGGAAATAATATCGGAGGGGTCACTTCAAGCCCGATGTGGCGTCGAATTCTCCTCGCATCGTCGGTAGAAATGCGTTTCATGTATGAGGTGGAGAATACGGATCGTCCGAGAGATGGACTCGTTGGCAGGCAGAAAATTCACCCAGTCGATGCTATCCTAGGCGAGGTCTTCCGCAGCACAATTTTTCCGAAGGCTGGTTGAAGTCCGTTCTGCGATCAGAGATTCGCGCAGCACCCAGATGGCAAGTCCATAAGTTTCAGCTTCAGAGGCTCCTTCATCACCCAAATTAAAGCGGAATGTTCAGGCACGGCTACTTTTGCGCGCCACCGAACTTTCTCGAATCCGCATGATTCCAGCAGCCTGGCAGCTTCGGCTCACATAAGAACACCTCATCGATGAATATCCTGCGAGGTCTCGAGCGTGCTGAGGGAGCTCTTGCGATTACTGCTCTCCCCCCTCGATGAAAGCCCAAGATCGAAGGTTCCTGATTGGAAAATTCCAGGAGATAAAAGTGAATCTTCATCCGGATCAGAGATTCTCTTAATATCGATGATGTAGAAATTTGAATATCAGCTGAGAGCGACAAATCGAGCGTGACGTTCCGCTCTCGTCACCACCCATCTCCTTTCCCATCAGTGTTTGATGGGTCTCGAATCTTAAGGGTCTGTCGAGATGACATCTCTCGAGTCGGAATATAGAACTTTCGTCGCTTCTCTCCAAATCTGCGCGCCCGCGGGGCCGGAGAGCTTCATGAGAGCAGAACGTCGACTCGCTCCGAAAGCGGAATACCGCGGGCGGGCGAGCACTGAGTAGAATAAACACTTTGCGCCGCGAGCTCGCAGAAAACGTCGATATTTCAGAGCGCCGACGAGAGGGGGTTCTGGAGCTGAGCGCGTGCAGAGAATACCGATTTTTTCGGATGAGTCCAGACCACGAACGTTGCTCGGCGCATTTCATGCTCGTCCTTTCATCGCCCTTTGCCTTTCCTGACGCCCCTTTGTCGTCGGATCGATGCGAAAGGACTCGCCGCTAGAAACGTTCTCCGCGTCGTCGACCAGCGAAAAAGCTCGAACGAGCAGGTTGGAAGTTAGAATTGAGCTCCGAGCGCCGGCGCCGCGTCCCAGAGATAAAGCAAAAGAATACATGGAATGGAGCGAAATGAAGGATCCTCCGAACGAAGCAACTGTCATCTCCTGGGAGCTCTGTCCGAAGATGAATCCAATCATTGGAGAGAAGGTTCGAGGGTGAATGGGCGGAGCGTTCCGTGGTACCGGAAAAAGCATCACGACGCTCATCGTTGCTCTGAAAATCAGGGAATGACGCAGTTCCTGAAGCTTCGGCAGTGGAGGGAGACCACTCGTATTGTCATTAAGAAGTTCGAGCTTGGAAAGCCGCAATTGCATGTCATTATGCAGCAACGCGCCTCGGAATCGGCGGGCACGAGGACTGCTAACAGCCGGAATAACAGGCGTAGGAAGTATGCAGACGTCGGGCTGGGGTGGATCGATGGGGTTGTTGAGCATCGTGAAAGAACAGAGAACGCCCGCGGCTCCCGTGATAAAGCGGGAAGAAAATTCATTCTCGAAGCCGTACGCGATGGCGTGCTCATGGGAGAGGGGACAAGGGTGTCGTTTTCACATCTCCATTCAGGATGGAACGCGCGCACCCTTCTTGCAATCATCATCATCATTCATCATCGGTTATGTGCGAGCAGTATGCTCGATTGATTTCGTTCATATCCCATTGCAGAATGATCCGATTGCATTTGTCTCCCACTGTTGAAAATAGCGGGAGAAATAACCCTCCTCGCCCCAGCCCTCCCTACCCGGAAGAAAATCCTGAGCACGCGCCTCACACTATGTCGTCGGGAGTATTCGACGGACAGTCGCTCACCTCTGAACTCGTACTCCAGAACCCGATCACCATTCCTTCGGGTTTCGCGGGGCTCGAGCAAGACGAAGATTCGCAATCGTGCCGGAAATCATGGCTCCCATCTATTGTGTTTCTTTCTGTCGCTGCGGAGAATCTTGGCGGCACCCGTCGAACCGGAGAAGCTCTCACTCAGATTCCTTGCCGTGGCGATCCCTCGAGGCAGTCTGGTGTTCAAGTATGGAAAATATGACATAGGGACTTACGCACGATTCTCGTGGTTTCGAAGCCGAAGAGTTAGCTTCCTCTAATTGGATCTCTGTAGGTTGACGAGGTCACTGATCTTGAGAGATATGAATTCTCTGAATGCGAGGAGTCGGCGCATGAGTATGTGGGTCTGAAACCGCCTGGAATGAAAAATTCATCTGGATTGCCCTCAAGTGCTCCCCCACGGCACTAATTAGCGTGGAATGTTTCGAAAGAAATTCCTCCGCGCA